TCGTACAGCATCATTGCTACATCACTGACATGTCACAAAAGGGGAGGGGTAGGCAGGGGTTGGGACGCAGGTGGCGCTGTGGGTTAAACCACAGAGCCTAGGACTTGCCGATCAGAAGGTCGTCTGTTCGAATCCCCGTGATGGGGTGAGCTCCCGTTCCTCGGTCCCTGCTCCTGCCAACCTAGCAGTTCAAAAGCACGTCAAAGTGCAAGTAGATCAATAGGTACCGCTCTGGCGGGAAGGTAAATGGCGTTTCCGTGCGCTGCTCTGGTTTGCTCTGCTCTGGCAAGACCCAGGTATAAGATGAGCATAGACAAACACCTCTGAAGCCCCACCACCCAAAAGTACAATAGAACTTCCTTTGCATGTCTGGAGCCTGAGGCGAGTCAGGTGATGAGATTTGGCTTCCCTTGGCTAACAATGAGCCCAGCAATTGTCACCTCTGGGAACTTCCTGGAGTCCTTTTCCAAGGGGAAAATAGCTTGGGAATGGAGGAAACTGGCAAAGGAGTTGATTTTATATGCTTGTAAAAGCTAGGTAACTTCCCTGAGCTGTTAAGTCGAAAGGATACATTCAGGCATAATATTTGTAAGATTTAACTTTAAAGATGTGCCCTCCCCCCCGTAATTTCCATAACAGCAACCATAATCGGTTCTGCAGGTCCGGTTGTAAACCAAAGCAGGTTGTAACCCGAGGTGCACTTTTGCCAATGGGGCCTCCCCCCCCCAAAAAAAATATAATTGGTTGTTTTCCAAAAAAATGGGTTGTAATCCAAAAAAAGGAACACAGACCTCTGGATTTGACGTGGTTGTAATCCAAAATGGTTGCAAACCAAGGTACCACTGTATAGCAATATATATCATAGAATTGTAGAGTTGAAAGGGAGCCAAGGGTCATCTAGTCCAACCCCCCGGTTCCAGGGGGCACTTGAGTTCCAGGAGCAGTTGACAATCCCCCAAGAAACAGCGGCTCCTGGACCATGGGTGGCTGAGATTTTAAGGCATTAATGGACCCAATCCACCAAGCCCGGTTGTTTCTCTGCCTCCTCCAAGTGGCCAAGGGCTGAGAGAGCACCCCTTTTCCTGCTTTGGGGTATGTGGGGTGTGTGTGGCGGTTCTCTTGGTCTGTGTTACTGACCATGCAAGCACCACCAAGCTGCAGTTGTTTGAGGAGTGACCGATTCGGAGTCAAGGGGTTCCTTTGATTCCTAGCACTGTACGTTGCGAGGGACCCCCAAAGGCCATCTAGTCCAGCCCTCTGCAATGCAGGGACCACAGCTAAAGCATCCCCGACAGAGGGCCAACCGACCTCTGCTTAAAAACCTCGAAAGGTGAACAGTCTACCTTCCCAGGTCAGAGAATCATAGAATGGTAGTTGGGAGGGACCCCTAAAGGTTCTCTAGTCCAACCCCCCTTCAATGCGGAAAACGGCCCTTGCATGTGTCAGGCTTAGTGGTTTTTCTGAGCAGGGAGGAAATGAGCTTCTCTGCCTTCGGCTCCCATGATTTAATTGCCAACTGCTTTTGCTCTTCTGCAACAGCGATGAGCATGGAGACCCCAGGTACATGCATGTCTTCTGGGCTGCAGTTCCTCTTTCTTTCTTTCTTTCTTTCTTTCTTTCTTTCTTTCTTTCTTTCTTTCTTTCTTTCTTTTTATTAATTTTATAATAACAAAAAAAAAAGAACCAAAAAAGAGAGAACATCACAATCCAAAATTTAACTCATACATCTTAATTGAATTCCCCCTCCTGGTTTCATTATTTTATACTTGTTCATGCACGTCTATGGAGTCTTATAGGGACACGGGTGGCGCTGTGGGTTAAACCACAGAGCCTAGGACTTGCCGATCAGAAGGTCGGCGGTTCGAATCTCCACGACGGGGTGAGCTCCCGTTGCTCAGTCCCTGCTCCTGCCAACCTATCAGTTCGAAAGCATGTCAAAGTGCAAGTAGATAAATAGGTACTGCTCCGGTGGGAAGGTAAACAGCGTTTCCGTGTGCTGCTCTGGTTCGCCAGAAGTGGCTTAGCCATGCTGGACACATGATCCGGAAGCTGTACGCCGGCTCCCTTGGCTAGTAAAGCGAGATGAGCACCACAACCCCAGAGTCGGCCACGACTGGACCTAACAGTCAGGGGTCCCTTTACCTTTATGGAGTCTTATATTCTTAACAATCCAATTTTAAAATCTTATTCATTTTGTTACAAGTGACCTTTAGAAGTTCGACTAATGTAGAAACATATACATAAAGCTTGCAATATATGCCTTAAACATTTCCCCCCTTTTTAAAAACACAACAACAATGTCCTTTTCTTTCTTGGGTTTCAAATTGTGTACTACATCCCACATAGTTCATTAGTTTGTTTTGCCAATCTTCTTCTTCCCTCTCTTTCTTCAGCACTGGACATTGTGTGTGTGCCTCTGTGTGCATGTGTGTGCATGTCCATACACACATGTGTGTGCTAGATACCAGCTCTGCTCTTGAGGTACGCCAGTGGTCTCCAAACCTTTTAGGGGGACACCACCCCCTTAGTCCCATGAAGGCGTCCTCAGTGCCCCCTAACCTGTAAAAAGCATCATTCAGAAGAGCAGCTTGCACCCCTACCAAGGAAGATAGGAGCACAGCACAATTCGAAACAGTAGCGATGAATTGCACATTCCTCCCAAATTAAATGGGTTTGTCTAATTAATCTGACAAAATCACAGAATGGTAGAGTTGGAAGGGACCGAGAAAGCCGTCTAGTCCATGGGTAGGCAAACTAAGGCCTGGGGGACGGATCTGGCCCAATCGCCTTCTCAATCCGGCCTGTGGACGGTCAAGAATCAGCGTGTTTTTACATGAGTAGAATGTGTCCTTTAATTCAAAATGCATCTGGGTTATTTGTGGGGCATAGGAATTCATTCATCCCTCCCCAATATAGTCTGGCCCCCCACAAGCTCTGAGGGACAGTGGACCGGCTCCCTGCTGAAAAAGTTTGCTGACCCCTGGACTCTAGTCCAGCCCCCTGCAATGCAGGAATATTTCACCCAGTGTGGGGCTCGAATCCACAGCCCTGAGTTTTATGCTCAACTGACTGAGCTGGCCTTGATCCAGTGGCACCAGTTTTTCCAAGCTTGATAGGCACCTCCAGTGCCTTAGCACCGGGCGCTACCACCGTCATTTGGGAAACACTGATGCAGAGCTGTCAACGTTTCCTTTTTAAAAGGGAAATTCCCTTATTCCGAATAGGATTCCTCACAAGAAAAGGGAAAAGTTGACAGCTATGCACTGATGTAAATGGTTAAAGTTTCCAGGGGTCAGCAGGCTTTTTCAGCAGGGGGCCAGTCCACTGTCCCTCAGACCTTGTGTGGGGGGGGGGGGCGGACTATATTTTTTTGGGGGGAAATATGAACGAATTCCTATGCCCCACAAATAACCCAGAGATGCATTTTAAATAAAAAGACACATTCTACTCGTATAAAAACACGCTGATTCCTGGACTGTCTGCGGGCCGGATTGAGAAGGCGATTGGGCCGGATCTGGCCCCCGCGCCTCAGTTTGCCTACCCATGGGTTAAACGATTAGGGAGAGATTTTAATGACTAGGGACCCTGGATGTTTAGGGCTGGCTTGGGTAGATAGCCAGCGTTTGTGCTCCCTGCTGTCCTGATGGGAGAATGATGGAGGGGTAGCTTCTGACCTCAATCAGAGCTTCACGGGACTCCCAAAACCCCCAGGGCACTTATGGGGGCAAACCCCTGCCCTCCTCCTCAGCTCCCGGTGGCTGGCGCAAAGGGAGAGTTGCCCCTGCCATGCTCAGCGGCTCGTGGCAAATGTGGGGAGCATCTATGTGATAGAGAGGAGGAGAAGGTGAGAACCTTGCTCCATCTAGATCAGAATGGGCAAAATGAGCGAAGTTATGCCAAGACTGTTAATTTGCATAATTCATGTATTTGATTTCATTATTCCATAAAATTTATGCAGCGCTCGAATGGGAAAGCAACACAAAACTCAAAGCCGTTTACAAAAGAAAGGGACAAGACAATAGGAAATATTGACAGCAATAATTTAAGGCCTTTGAAAGGAAAAAATAAAAATACCGTATTTTTCGCTCTATAGGACGCACTTTTTCCCCTCCAAAAATTAAGGGGAAATGTGTGTGTGTCCTGTGGAGCGAATGCAGGCTCCTTGGTTTCAGCGATAGCAACGCAAAGCCTCCGAAGCACAGAGGGAGCACTCTCTCCGCGCTCCGGAGGCTACGCGTTGCTTTCGCTGAAGAGCGAGAGGGGTCGGTGCACACCAACCCCTCTCGCTCTCCAGGCTTCAGGGATAGCTGCCTGAAGCCTTTGGAGCGCAGTGCAAGTTCCCGCTGCGCTCCAAAGGCTTTGGGTTCCTTTTGCGGAAGCCAGGAGAGCAAGACTCTCCTGGCTTCAGCAGAGAGGGAGAGCTGCGCAGCGCCCTTCAGCCAAGTGGGAGGAGAAATGGAAGGGGCTCCGTTTCTCCTGCCGCTTCGCTGAAGGGGCGCTGAGCAGAGAGGGGGAGAAATTCCCCCCCTGTTCTTCCCCTCCTATGGTCCGGTGCGTCCTATAGAGCGAAAAATACGGTAGATTAAAAGTCACATCAACATTCTAGACGTCTGGGTAAGCTTTCCTGCACCAGAATGTTTTCAGGAGGTGCCAAATGGAGTCCAGTGAAGGCGCTTGCCTGTATCAATAGGCAGGGAGTTCCAAAGGGCTGGTGCTGCCAGATTTTGCTGTGAAATCTGAATGTTTCAACTCCCTTTGTCCCTAAAAAGTCGCTGAAAGTCTCTCCAAGCCTCTCCCTGTTTGATCTTGCTACTGGCTCTTCTACCTCCAAGCTGTGTGTGTGTTTGCTGTGGTTTTCCAACTGGAGCAAGGCATGGTTTTTTTGGGGGTGTGTGTGTGTGCGTTGTACTGTTCACTTTGGGAAATCCAGGTGTCTGGGCAAACCTTTCTGTTCTTGTAATTTTGGTTTTTTTGAACCACGTGTCCTTTCAGAGATAAAGCCAAAGGGAAAGAGAAAAAACACCGCCATTTGTTCAGGTATTGCAACTTTCCCCTTTCAGCTCCCGACTCAAGTTTCTAGTCCCTGGTTTGCAGTGCTACAGTTTGCTGTCTTTTCAGCCACATCTCTGAATACCCTGGGGATATCCTTTTCAGGATGATGAGTGGGAAGAAAACCCTCACCAGAAAGTATTATGGGTTGTTAAGAGAAGCCAGCAAGTGGCAAAGGTTGGCAGAGGACGGGGCAGTCTCCCCCAGCCACCCCTTGCCATGCCTGGATATGACCGCTCAACTTGCCTACCTTACAGGAGTGTTATGGGGATAAAATGGATATTTTTGTGTGTGTGGAACTATGCATGTCCTTTGATCTCCATGGACACAGAGCAGGAATTCTTGTTCTTTTAAGAAATAGAAAAGATCGCGTGTGTTGATTTTCTTAGTACTTATGCACAAGCCCTCATATTTTCCTTGTGTTTAATTTGGCATCCCGCACGACCGTCCACTCATCTCAGCAAAGGAAAAGACAAATCAAACAAGTAGGTGCCGCGATCACTGCAGTTTCTCTTCCTGTCTAACATTTCTCTCTCTGTCCCTGCGATGCCTTCTTTCTTTTGAAGTAGCTGACTTTCCGACAGAAACTTTCTCCCCTATGAAGGAAGGTTGCAGCATCTGATACTTTTTAGTTTAGAGAAACGGCGAGGAAGAGGCAGAAGATAGGAGTTTATAAAATTAAGCTTTTTTCTCTCTCTCTCCCAATGCTACATCCAATAAAGCTGGAAATTTGGAAGATTCAGGATGGATAATAATAATAATAATAATAATAATAATAATAATAATAAAAAATTATTTGTATCCCGCCCATCTGGCTGAGTTTCCCCAGCCACTCTGGGTGGCTTCCAACAAAGATTAAAAATACATTAAAATGTCACACATTAAAAACTTCCCTGAACAGGGCTGCCTTCTGATGTCTTCTAAAAGTCTGGTAGTTGTTGTTCTCTTTGACATCTGGTGGGAGGGCGTTTCACAGGGCGGGTGCCACTACCAAGAAGGCCCTCTGCCTGGTTCCCTGTAACTTGGCTTCTCGCAGGGAGGGAACCTCTGTGTCCAGGCAGAATGATAGGGGTGGAGACGCTCCTTCAGGTATACTGGACTGAGGCCATTTAGGACTTGAAAGGTCAGCACCAACACTTTGATTTGTGCTCAGAAACGTACTTCAAAGGACTTCATCACGCAGTGCATAGTGGAACTATGGAACTCACTGCCACAGGAGCCAGCTCACAGTCTAGATGGCTTTGAAAGAGGATTGAACAAATTCATGGAGGAAGAGAGGGCTGTTGATGGCTACTAGCCAGGGTGGCGATGCTCTGCCCGTAATACGAAACCAGGAAGCAGGAGCCTTCTCCCCTTCTGGGGTTTCCAGAATCAACTGTCTCCAGCTGTGGAAGCAGAACATAGTCATTGAGAGCCCTCTTTTCCACCACAGATCTGCCTAATCCTCTTTTAAAGCCATTCAAGTTGCTGGCCACCCCTGTGGCAGTGAGTTCCGCAGTCCGACTCTATGCTGCGTGAAAGAGCCCTTTTCTAAAATCTGCCTCGGTTCCACCAACATTTGGCTTCCTTCGATGACCACGAATTCTAGTGTTACCAGAGAGAGAGAGAGACCATCTTCCCTGTACCCACTATCTGAGTGCCGTGCTTAATTTCATAAACATTTGCCACGCTGCCTTCGACTTGCCGTTGCTCTGCCAACAAGTCTCTTTCCGCCTGGGTCCTTCTGCACGCCAAGCAGGCTCTCTGTCCCCTGAGCTATGAGCTCTTTCCCAAGCGCCAGGAGCGCACCCAGCCGCAGGTCTCTGAGCCAACTCCTTGTCCCCTTGACCGTACGCCTTTTCGGCGTTCATCCTCTTGTCTCTGCCGCACACCTTCTCCGCTATTATAAACGCAGATAAAGCCTGAATAATTCATCCGCAGGCCCGTAATTGGATCCTGGACGAGTCCATCTGGAATTGCGGGAGAAAGAGGCACTCAGGGGCTCTTTCTTTCCCCTGCACCCCAGAAAACGTGAGCCCAGGAAAGGGAAGAGAGCCCAAGGCCTAGCCAAGGGACCAAATCACTGAAGCTGCCATTGAGGCAGCATCTAGAGTGGGCACCCCGACCAACCTCTCCAGTGGCACCTCGTATGGCGGCCGCTCCGAGCGTCCCGTTCTGTCTCAGATGTTCTCATCCAATATTCACGAAGGCGACGGTGTCAGTTCACCGCCAGAGCCGCTAGCTGAGCATCAGCGCCACTCTGCTCCCCTCGCCGGAGGAAAATGGGGGGCAGCGGGGCCTGGGTTTGAGGCCGCTCGAGGGGCCGGGGAAAGGGTGGGAGTGGACGACGGGTTCCCCCACCCTGGGACGAGCTGCCCTGCTCTCTCTCTCCCCCCATCCCAAGCTCCCTGTCCTCTGCTGGGATGGTAGTCGCGAGACACAGGTAGAGTCTGTCTTACCTGGGACACAGGTAGGTGATTGGTTTGTTTACCTCTGGAAGCTTTTGTTGGGGGGGCAGGTAATGAATGCAAGGTGCCACCCCATAACAGGGTGATGGGCAAGATTAGCGCGTCTGGGTGGGTGAACGGGAGCACTGCATTTTTTATTATTCAGCGTCTGGACATCAGAAACATGCAAGAGGAACGTGCTAAAGAGGACTAGTTTCTTGGGAGTGCTTTTAATACCAGCAAATCGCTGATCTTGACCCAGAAAACCAGAACTCAAACCTATGGGAAAGGTGTCCATCGCTGGAGGCATTGTGTATTTGCTGGAGTGTTGACCTTGAGTGTTTGTGCTTGTGTGTGTGTGAACAAAGGACTCAGCTGTTCATGGGGAACATGGTACAGTCTTCTCGGGTGACTATACCACATATTGAACACATTCGATGCTCAGTCTCCCTACCTGCTGTTGTCAGGGAAAGAAATGATGTGCAAGCAGCGATAGATTTTTAAAGAGGGTTAGACAAGTTCATGGGGATGCGGGTGGCGCTGTGGTTTAAACCACAGAGCCTAGGGCTTGCTAATTGGAAGGTCGGCGGTTCGAATCCCTGTGACGGGGTGAGCTCCCGTTGCTCGGTCCCTGCTCCTGCCAACCTAGCAGTTCTAAAGCACATCAAAATGCACATCACAAAGTGCAAGTAGATAAATAGGTACCACTCTGGCGGGAAGGTAAACGGTGTTTCTGTGCGCTGCTCTGGTTTGCCAGAAGCGTCTTAGTCATGCTGGCCACATGACCTGGGAAAACTGTCTGCAGACAAACGCCGGCTCCCTCGGCCAATAAAGCGAGATGAGCGCCGCAACCCCAGAGTCGTTTGCAACTGGACTTAACACTCAGGGGTCCTTTACCTTTACCTTTAATGGAGGAGAGATGGGTTTTCAGAAGGCGCCTGTGGGTGAATTTGTTTCATGTGTGGAGAACCGTGCACAGTGACCAACGTGCAGTCTTTGCAGTGCTATTCCGATGGCATGAGTATCATGAAGACTGGTAGATTCTTATCTGCTACAGCCTTCATCCGCCTGCACAGCCGTTGTAACATACCGCTTGTGATCATCCACCTGTTCTGCCCTTGAGGGCTATTTGTGGCCACTAGCCATAATGGCTATGCAGTCCCTCCACAGCCAGAGGCTGTGAGCCTAGGAGAACCATCCCGGCCTTATAGGAAGAGGGTTCTATAGAAGGGAGATGCTCTATGGCCCTTCCACAGGAGCAGATCTGGAATTTAGCCTGGACAATTTAGCCGGGACCTTCCAAAACTTCCCCTCCTCTCCATTTGCCTCTGGAATAACCGGACCCTCCACTCTAGAGTCCTTATTTCATGACACCCTCCCTCTATCCTCCCTCTCCACCCCCCTCCCCTCATCCTGGCAAATGATCCCCCACCCCACTTCTCTGATTTAAAAGGAATGTTAATTATTCATCCGTTAATTAGCTTTTCATTATGCGCCAGCCGGGTGCCTGTAAGCAGGTCTCGTGTTTCAGATTCCGGACATTTATTTATTTATGTATAAAGAAATCATCTCTTTCCCTTCCCCTTAGAAAATGCAAAATAAATAGCAAAAACAAAAGCGCCAAACTTAATCTGTTCCAGAAGTCCGTTTGACTTTTGAAATGTTTGGAAACCCAGGCGCAGCTTCTGATTGGTGCAGGCGCCCCAGAAACAATAGCTGACAACTGCATCAGAGGTTCGGCTTCTGAAAAACATTCGAAAACCGGAACACTTACTTCCGGGTTTTCGGCGTTTGGGAACCAAAGCATTTGAGTCCCAAGGTGTTTGAGAACCAAGGTATCACTTTATATGGTTTTATTCACGCACATGGGCAACCTGAGCATAGGATGGAGGGGCCCACAGAATTGACACCCCAGAAAATCTTGCTTTTCCATTATCCACAGCTTTGGACCCAGCACAGAGCAAGCAGGTCTCTGTGTCTCCAGCTTCCAGCTTTTAGCTCGTACCCCAAAACTCTGGCTCTCCTTTTTTGCATGTTTGAAGTTTTATTCTGTTTTTAATGTTCTGTTGAAAGCCGCCCAGAGTGGCTGGGGAAATCCAGATGGGCGGGGTAGAAATATTGTTGTTGTTGTTGTTAGGTGAGGCGAAGGAGGTAGAGGAAAGGCCCAACCATGAGTCTGGCACTCCTGCAACTTAGCTTGTCCTTTTGGGAGCTGATGTGGGCACTTATAGGGCTACTGAGGTTCTTGTCTTACAAAGAAACTTGTTTGACAAGTTCAGCAATCACAGTACAGTGGCACCTCGCAAGACGAATGCCTCGCAAGACAAAAAACTCGCAAGGCGAAAGGGTTTTTTGTTTTTTGAGCTGCTCCGCAAGACGATTTCCCCTATGGGCTTGCTTCGCAAGACGGAAACGTCTTGCAAGTTTGTTTCCTTTTTCTTAACACCGTTAATACAGTTGTGACTTGACTTCGAGGAGCAACTCATAGAACGCGGTGTGGTAGCCTTTTTTGAGGTTTTTAAAGACTTTGGTGATTTTTGAAGCTTTTCCAAAACTTTCCCGACACCGTGCTTCGCAAGACGAAAAAAATCGCAAGACGACAAAACTCGCGGAACGAATTAATTTCGTCTTGCCAGGCACCACTGTATTGTAGAGGACCCTGAGGAGCATCTAGTTCATGGGTACGCAAACTAAGGCCCGGGGGCCGGATCTGGCCCAATTGCCTTCTCAGTCCGGCCTGCGGACGGTCCGGAAATCATCGTGTTTTTACATGAGTCGAATGTGTCCTTTTATTTAAAATGCATCTCTGGGTTATTTGTGGGGCATAGGAATTCGTTCTCCCCCCCCCCCCCCGCATCAAAATATAGTCCAGCCCCCCACAAGGTCCGAGGGACAGTGGACCGGCCCCCTGCTGAAAAAGTTTGCTGAACCCTGATTTCTAGTCCAACCCCCTGCAATGCAGGAATATCCACCTGTCCCATACAAGGATCGAACCTGCAACCTTGGCATTATCAGCACCACGCTCTAAGCAACTGAGCTATCCAGCAATGCAGTCCTCCTTTAGATTCCAACGCTCACTGAGTCCCAACGATTGGACTCAAGGCATCATCTGATTTGACCCCACACCCAAACCGTGGCACCATTCTCTAAGGCAGGCTTCTCCAACCGGGTGGCCTCCAGATGTTTCAAACTACAACTCCCACCAGCAGGCAGGTGGGAGTTGTAGTATAATCTGAAATATCTGCAGGCCCCCGTGTTTGGGGAAGCCTGATCTAAGGGCTGAGACTCCAGGATATATCTTCCCCAAAAAGCCCAAAACCTTTCTACTAGGATTGATGGGAAAGGAAATTTTAAAAAAAGACCAAAATATTTTTCTATATGCCGTGGCAGCAGCAAGAACTCTGCTGGCCCAGAACTGGAAAACAGATGTAATACCTACTATTATGGAATGGCAGGTCAAGATGACGATTTATGCAGAGCTGGCCAGATTAACAGGAAAAATACGAGACCAGGACGAACAGAAGTTTCAAGAAAGTTGGAGCAAATATCTGATGTATATAAGAGACAATTATAAAGAATTCAAGACCCTGGCAGGGCTGGAATAACTCTCACAATGGGTGGCAAAAATAAGTTAATTAAACAAAATACGTAATGTTAGAAAATATATGATACGTACCGAAGGGATGGAGGGAAGTCCGAAGCTTGGTGGAGCTAAAGTTGACTATGTGGAGTATATATGTTATAAACGTATTATGAGTGTATGTATTATGTTTAATGAAAACAATAAAAAATTATTGATAAAAAAGAGAGAGACTCCAAGATATATCTTACAAGAGGGTGATGAAACAGGAATGGAAATAAATGTCCAAAGGCCAAGAAGCGTCATATACCAATGGGAATTTGAGTAATTACATTGGATCTGAAACTCTGGGTGTGGACATGACTGACGTGTGAAATAATTACAGGAAAGTACCGTATTTTTTGCTCTATAAGACTCACTTTTTCCCTCCTAAAAAGTAAGGGGAAATGTGTGTGCGTCTTATGGAGCGAATGCAGGCTGCGCAGCTATCCCAGAAGCCAGAACAGCAAGAGGGATCGCTGCTTTCGCTGCGCAGCGATCCCTCTTGCTGTTCTGGCTTCTGAGATTCAGAATATTTTTTTTCTTGTTTTCCTTCTCCAAAAACTAGGTGCGTCTTGTGGTCTGGTGCGTCTTATAGAGCGAAAAATACGGTAATTCTTGCAAGAAGCCTTAGGGAACCTCCGCTCAATATCTTTCCATGCCGCTCGGATAAACACAACTGTCAAATCCTTTCGTCGTTTCCACATTCAACTCCCCCCAGCCTTCATCCCCAAACACAGTCTAAGCATCTTGTCCCTTATCCACTATGATCAACTGGAGAAGGCCTCAGATTCGTTTAGTATCTGCACAAACGAAGGCATTCAATATAGCAGGCACCTTCACTTTTGCTCTTTTGCCTTCTGCTGGGAAAGTATGTTTGACCAATTGCTTTTTTATATATAGAGAGAAGTCACTGGGTTCAGCACTGGTCATTTGTTCAGCTGTGTTAACAACAAGCCCCAAATTCTGGGATCCTGTTCCACCATTCTGCAATGTTTTGCAGAGCCTCCAAAATGGTGCGGCTGATCTGACCTTCCAAACTGCAGCAGCACTTGGCCACAGGTTTGGAGTAAACTGGACAGTGTTGGATTGGGGGTGATTAGTATTGCCCCATGTTGGTTAGGTCAGCCAGACAGTTTTGAGGGGCACTTCCAAACACGGGCTTTGCCCTGCAATTCATTTGCAAAACTTTGGAACATGTTGGGAGCAAATCAGGCAATGTTGGATTCGGGATGTGTGTGATATCCAGGAACCCCAGTTTGATAATCAATCGCTTAGTTTTGGGGGCACTGCAAAACATGGGTTTGCTCCGCAAAACTTTGGCATGGGTTTGGAGTGAATCGGACGGTGCAGGATTTTGGGGTGATGGCTAGGAACCCGGATTTGATGTATCAATTACTCAGTCTTGGACGTGCAGCAAAATGCAGGGTTTGTGCTGCAAAACGATTGCAAAACTTTGGAGGTAATCCCAACTTTGGGGGTTGATAATTAGCACAGCTCATTGGTTCTGCATTTTTAAAAATGTTTTGATTATTTTATTGCAACCCACCATGAAATAGATGATAGATGATAGATAGATAGATAGATAGATAGATGATAGATAGATAGATAGATAGATAGATAGATAGATAGATAGATGATAGATAGATGATAGATAGATGATAAGATAGATAGATAATAGATAGATATAGAGATAGATGATAGATAGATAGATAATAGATAGATAGAGAGATAGATGATAGATAGATAGATAGATAGATAGATAGATAGATAGATAGATAGATAGATAGATGATAGATAGATAGATGATAGATAGATAGATAGATAGATGATAGATAGATAGATAGATAGATATAGATAGATGATAGATAGATAGATGATAGATATAGATGATAGATATAGATAGATAGATATAGATAGATAGATAGATAGATAGATAGATAGATAGATGATAGATGATAGGTAGATGATAGATATAGATAGATGATAGGTGAGTTGGCAGTTTATAAGCGCTCAAAGAAATAAATAAATCTCCTTATATTCTCTCTCTCATTTTCCTTACTCTTTCTTCCCTCTGTTTGGCTCTCCCCACTGTCAAAGTTCAGATTGTAAGCTCCTAGGGGCCAAGACCTGTTGTGTATGTATGTATTTGGGGGTTCCTGCTGTAAAGTGGGGCAACGACACTGACACTCTGCCTACTCTTCTTACAGAGCTGGGAAAGGCGTCTTTTCAGCCATGAAGCTGGGCAAAGCACGTGGTCAAAAAGATGACCACCACAGGAAGCAAGGTAACCCTTTGCACCCTCACTTCCTGGTCTTCTGGGTGGCAGGGAATTGTGACCGCTGAGGCCTTTTGCAGTGCATATCTGAGGGGTCCAGGTCCAGGTCAAAGAGAAAAGTATATTGCTGATATTAATATAGTGCAGCTTGAAGAAACTGGATGCATAAACACTGACCCCTTGTGGGATGAAAATATTCTCCAGACCCATAAATATGATTCAAGCTTTACTAGCAAGAACGTCTCCAAAACAGGTACAAAAACAATCAATGATGCATCCAAACCGTTCCATAAGATATATGCTTATCACAGCATGCTTATTAGGTTCAGCATCTTCTTCTTAGAAATATAACTCTGAACAGGTACGGTAAGGTAAAGGTAAAAAAAAACTCCTGGACGGTTAAGTCCAGTAAAGAATCAAAGGTCTTTCTCTCTCTCTCTCTCCTTACACAGAATCCATTAGCCTGCATTTCATTAGCCTGAGGCTGTTCCTTCTGGAAGACAATCATTAGCACATCTTCCTCTCATTTATCCTGGGAACAAAAGACCCAAAGTCAACTCCCTTCAAAACGGAGATTTGCAACTGAATACCTTAATCATATGATCTAAGGTTAAACACCCACGTGAAAGAACAGGGAACATCAACAGTTAATTATTCACCCAGCTAGAAGCTTAGAGAGCGCTTTCTAGCTTTAGTATACAACAACAAAAGTTTCCAATGTTAAACCCTTTCAGCAATATACATACAGGCATTCCAGTGTGCAATTAAGCAATCACACTTAACAAAATATCCCTTGAATTCTTTCCATCTATGGATGCAGCCTCCCAGCAACAGCTACTGGCTGAAGGGAATGGCAGAGAAGTCCATGTCTCCCTGCCTTTTATACTCCACAGATCCCAGGAAGAGCCACTGATAGACCAAGAGCTCAGATTAAGAGGCTTAACTATGAATTTGCATCTCTCTCCACGGCAGATGAACCGGCGGTCCTGGAAGCCGAAGACCTGGACCGGAAGGCGATGCGGCTGGGAGGCGGGCTGGACCCAGACACCATCTCCCTGGCATCGGTCACAGCCGTCACCACCAATGTATCCAACAAGAGGTGAGCAGGTTTGCAAGGCAGGCTGAGGGATGGAGTCCAAAGCTTGTCGTCAATTGTCCTTTACTCAGAGTAGGCTTATTAAAACATGGATGGATCAAAGTTACCTTATCTTTCGCTCCATAAGACGCACCTGACCATTAGATGCACCTAGTTTTTAGAAGGGGAATGCAAGAAAACATTTTTTTTTTAAAGGGAGCACTGAGCAGAGCCTGTGTGCATCCCAGGCTCTGCTCAGCGCTCCCTTTCACGAGCCACATGGAGCGTGTGTGCGGCGCTTGCAGGCTTTTCCCCAGGAGAGAGAAGGACAGCCCGTCACTGACGGGCTGCCCTTCTCCCTTTTTTGGGGGGGAAAGCCCCCAAGAGCCGCACACATGCTCCACGCGGCTTGTGAAAGGGATTGCGGCTCTTGGGGAGGGGCTTTTCCGGTAGGTGGGGGAAGGGACTGAGGGGCTGCCCTCTGTCCCTTCCCCCACCTCCCACAAAAGCTATCAAGAGCCGCACGCTCTTTAAAGAGTGTGCGGCTCCTGCGGGCTTTTCTACGAGGTAGGGGAATTCCCCCACCTCCCGCAGAAGCCGGCAGAAGCCGCGCACCCTTTAAAGAGCGCACAGCTTTTGCGTGCTTTTCTACGAGGAGGGAGAAGGGACTGACGCGGCCAGAAAACCCGCAAGAGCCGCGCGGAGCGTGTGTGAGGCTCTTGGGGGCTTTTCTTGCCTGCCTCCCGCCTGCATTCGCTCCATAAGACGCACACACATTTCCCCTTGCTTTTTCGGAGGGAAAAAGTGCGTCTTATGGAGCGAAAAATACGGTAGGTATCATAGAATTGTAGAGTTGGAAGGGACCCCCAGAGGCATCTAGTCCAACCTCCTGCGTTGCAGGAATGTCAACTAAAGCATCCATGGCAGATGGCCACCCAACCTCAGCTTAAAAACCTCCAAGGAAGGAGAGTCCACCACCTCTTGTGGCAGTCTGTTCCACGGTCGAACAGCTCTTAACGTCAGAAAGTTCTTCCTCAAAGAATCCAGAAACAATGGAAATGTTTAAATGGTTATTTATGTAGACAAGGATTAAGTGTAAGGTATTGGTTGTGTTTAGAATAGATTTATGAAAGACTTAGAAAACTTATTGATTAGAATATTTGCATGAGATTGTATGGGGGAAATACGGAATAACAGATACAAATTTGCTTACAATGTATATAGGGAGTGCAGCGTAAGCAATGGAAGTCAATCAATGAAATTTTATTATTGAGATATTTGTAGAATAAATTTAGAAGAAATTCTTCCAATTTTTCTTCTCCTTCCAATTTTTCTTCTTGTTTTTTCTTTTTTCTTCTTCCTTTTTCCCCTTCCTCTTTTGTTCTTTTTTTATATATGTGTGCTTTTCTGAAAAAATGTATGTATGTATGTGTTTTGCTTGCATTTTGAAATAATTATGTTAAATAAAATTTAATAATAAGAATAAGAAGAATAAGAAAATTCTTCCTGATGTTTAGTGGGAATCTCCATTCTTGTAACTTGAAGCCTTGGGTTCGAGTCCTACCCTCCAGAGCAGGAGAAAACAAGCTTGCTCCAGGAGAAGTATGATGTGCATCACTAGGGATCTTCTCTTTTCCAGAACCTGCTAAGCAGGGCACAATTCATATATGGAATTATGATGTCGAGGGGAAAGCTTTTCACCCTCGACTTCCATCTGGCAAACATAGTGCTGACCTACCTTCTAGGGCTCTTGTGCAGCTTACTGAGATAGTGTTTGGGAAGTGTGCTGAGCACTTTTCTGACTGTGATCATTCCCTTTTCCAGATCCAAGCCAGATATTAAAATGGAGCCCAGCGCTGGGAGGCCTATGGACTACCAGGTAAGCTGCTTCCTGTCTCTCTTTCATGGGGAGCTGTCCCTGGTGCACCTTCCACCTTAAGACACACACACACACACACACACACACACACCTGAAGAAGTGTGCATGCACACGAAAGCTTATACCCAGAACAAACTTAGTTGGTTTCTAAAGTGCTACTGGACATTTTTTTTATTTTTTATCTTGACACACACAGATTGTTTGGTGAAGAAGTAAAAGTAGTATTTACTTACATAATCTGGGTCGTGAAGCAGTAGCAAAATGAAGGCAGGTTTATAACTATTATCTAAGTTCTAAAAGTAAAAAAAGGCAGCCCCGTATAGGGAAGCTTTTTTTATTGTGCAATGTTTTATTATGTTTTTATATATGTTGGAAGGTGCCCAGAGTGGCTGGGGCAACTCAGTCAGATGGGGCAGGGTACACATATTAGTACAAATTTTTATTTCTTCTTCTTCTTCTTCGTTCAAAAATGGTGTCTGGACTGCAGAGCTCAGACATGCCTGTGTGGTCATCTTGGGAACATGATGAAGAAAGAAGAGGCTGACCAGGCAGGAAGGAAGTATGTAGTGTTACAGCTTCCTGCCAAAGCAGACAAAGGAAATGATGTCACAGAGTTCTCTCTAGCAAATTTGTCGGGAAAGCTCTCTTGAGCCTCAGCCCCTTCATGAGCCCATCTGGCAAAACATGAATATACGATATACGATATATATGATATACGATATCTTTATTGTCATTGTCGGATACAGAACAATGAAATTGATAATAATAATAATAATAATAATAATAATAATAATAATAATAATAATAATAATTTATTTATACCCCGCCCATCTGGCTGAGTTTCCCCAGCCACTCTGAGCGGCTTCCAATCAAGTGTTAAAAACAATACAGCATTAAATATTAAAAACTTCCCTAAAATCTACATAAAATATTCAAAAGCCCCTAAAAACTCTGAAACCCCATTTTAAATACAATATACAATAGAGACAATACAATATACTATAGAGACCCCTTACACTGCATTTAGAACCAGAATCGCATTTGGATAGAAACTGTTTCTCAGGCAGCTAGGTAAAGGTAAAGGTAAAGGTACCCCTGCCCATACGGGCCAGTCTTGACAGACTCTAGGGTTGTGCGCCCATCTCACTCAAGAGGCCGGGGGCCAGCGCTGTCCGCAGACACTTCCGGGTCACGTGGCCAGCGTGACAAACTGCATCTGGCGAGCCAGCACAGCACACGGAACGCCGTTTACCTTCCCGCTAGTAAGCGGTCCCTATTTATCTACTTGCACTCGGAGGTGCTTTCGAACTGCTAGTTTGGCAGGCGCTGGGACCGAACGACGGGAGCTCACCCCGCCGCGGGGATTCGAACTGCCGACCTTTCGATCGGCAAGTCCTAGGCGCTGAGGCTTTAACCCACAGCGCCACCCGCATCCCAGGCAGCTAGTCCTAGTCTTTATAACCCTGGACCTTCTTCCAGAAGGCAGAAGCTGAAAGAGATCATGGACCTTCTTCCAGAAGGCAGAAGCTGAAAGAGATCATTTCTGGGGTGCGCACTATCCTGCGCTATCTCTGCAGCTTTCTTAGGGCACCTGGAGGCGTAGATTTGATCCAGGGTGGGAAGAGGGCACCCAATTATTCTCTCCGCAGTCTTTACAACCCTGGACAGCATGTTTATTCCCTGACCGTGCAGCTCCCAAACCACACACACAGACCATAAGTTAATACACTCTCCACAGTTTCTGGTTTGACTGCAATAACACCCCACATCTCCCTTTAGGGACAGAGCAAGGAGAGGGAATAAAGGAAGATGGCGCCCAACTCTGAGTGGCCCAGGTCACTGCTAACCACCTCTTCTCTGACCAGGTCAGCGTCACGGTCATTGAGGCGCGGCAGCTGGTGGGGCTCAACATGGACCCCGTGGTGTGCGTGGAGGTGGGGGATGAGAAGAAATATACGTCCATGAAAGAATCGACCAACTGCCCCTACTACAATGAGGTGAGGTCTCTGACTGGGGCTGTGTGGATAAGCCCTGTGTCTCCCCTTTGCAAGAGGCTGGTCTGGGCTGGACTGATCCGTCCCTCCTCTGCATAATGACAATTTTAATTTAAGTTAAAAACTCTGCAAAAGGAATGTTTCAGTGCAGCAATGCAGCAAAGGACCCAAAGAGTGCTCTTATCCCTGAATGCTGATATTTGAATGTCTTGCTAAGAAAAAATGATTTAAGAAACCCACCACTTTTTCAAAATTCAAGAATCCCTCTCCCCTTCATATTTTGAGGGAATTGTAGACTTTCACCCTTATTTCTGCCTTGGCAGTGGCAGCGGAACGTCAAGATTCTAAAACAGCCTTTCTCAGCCTTGGGTCCCCAGATGTTCTAGAACTACAACTCCCATCATCCCTGACCACTGGTCATGCTGGCTAGGAATGATGGGAGTTGTAGTCCAACAACATCTGGGGACCCAAGGTTGAGAAAAGCTGTTGCGTGGCGAGTTTCCGCCTCCCCCCAGTGGAAATAAAGGCACATGACACAAATATTTAAGGTTAATGGGCTAAATATGGCCACAACTTTATTGGTTACAGGTGATGAGCGGTATTGGCTTAGGCATTGGTCCTAACCGACTATATCCAACTCCAGCCTGTCCGCTTGAAGTCCGGGAAGGGTTAACCACCAGTAGGGGGAGTCCTGCTGATGCACATCAACTAGGAACTCCCCTTGGGTCACCGATAGGGGGCGTGCCTTAGGCCCTCACCTCCCTAGGCTTTGGACAGGGCCACGGCCCCCAGAATCCTTTACCGGACTACCCTCAATATGTGGGGCAGGTGATGGCGCTTCCTCCCCTCTTCCATCTACAGAACAATACCAATGCCTAACCGCCAATACCCAGAAAGTTGTGATGATTTGCTACGAGGTAGGCAAAACCCAAGTGGCTGGTGCCAATTTGCCACGTGGAAAAATTCTTACCAGGCCCCTCAATGGCGACCACAAAGAGGGAGATCCCAGGCTGCCCCTGCGTTAAATGGAGCAGGCCACGCCCCCCAGGCTAGCCGATTGGCTGGCCAGGGGATGATGCGATCGGGATTCCCTCAATCGTGCGGAGGCTGAGAGCCAGCCCCCCCCCGCATGGTGGGAGGGTGAAGCCGGCAACCCCACCTCCTTCTACGTCGGAAGTGGCTTTCTAGAATGATATACATTGGGTTTTGTTTTTTTAATCATGTTCTTTCTTACCATGGCTAATCCCTCACCCTCCTTTTCTCTCTCCTTCCTCCCTCCTCCCAGTATTTTGTCTTCGACTTCCACGTTCCCCCAGACGTCATGTTCGACAAAATCGTCAAGATATCGGTGAGCAAGACTCTCTGCCTGCTCCTCTGTCTCCGTTGGAGTATTCTTGTAAACTGGCCAGTTTTGAGATAGAGGATGAACAGTTTAGGAGAAGACAACCTTAGGAGAGCTGGAACAGATGAAGATGAAGAAATGGGGTGCCGTTTAAGAGAAATACCTGGTGCTCCAAACCAGCGTGTGAATCAAGTCTAGGGCACATGAGGCTAGAGATTTATGCCCCAAGAAATGGGTTCAAACACCGTTTTATCTAACACACATATTTTTGCAAGCAGTTTCCTCTGCAGCATGGCATTCCTGTATGTGTGCTTCTCTCCAATGTGTGCATTTCTGTTCTACATCATTTTGGTCGAGTACTGCTGTTGCAAAATTCAGAGAAATGTGGATCTCAAAGGGCTGTGCACACTGGCTCTGTGCGCGAGATCTCATGGGACCATCTGGGTTCCTGCTGGATCTTGTGCGAGCATCCTTAGCCTCTCAGAATGCAAACGCCGAGCAGGCTTTGCCCAGCAAGCAAGGCAGAGACCTTAAAACATCTTTCTGCACCAGGCCTGCTTAGGTTAGGTAAAGGGTAAAGGGACCCCCTGACCATTAGGTCAAGTCGTGGCTGACTCTGGGGTTGCGGCGCTCATCTGGCTTTACTGTCCGAGGGAGCCGGCGTACAACTTCCGGGTCACGTGGCCAGCATGACTAAGCCGCTTCTGGCGAACCAGAGCAGCGCACGGAAACGCCGTTTACCTTCCCGCCAGAGCGGTACCTATTTATCTACTTGCATTTTGAAGTGCTTTCAAACTGCTAGGTTGGCAGGAGCAGAGACCGAGCAATGGGAGCTCACCCCATCGCGGGGATTCGAACCGCCGACCTTCTGATCGGCAAGTCCTAGGCTCTGTGGTTTGACCCACAGCGCCACCCGCGTCCCTGTGCTTAGGTTTCCCACCACAAAAAGAGTTTTTAAGCTCCCAGCCTTGCTTGCTGGGCTTTGGGAGTGTGGGATATTCTCTCTCCCTCTGCCTCACCCACTAGGGTTTGGATATATGCAATTTTTGGGTGTGCATGTAATCTTTGGCACCAAACCCGCATGTAAGATATACCGTATTGGCCTTAATATAAGTCTCACCTTTTCCCCAAATGCCAACCGTGAAAAGTTAAAGTGCGGCTTATATTCATGACCTTATGGTATGCAGGCAGTTGCGCTGGGCAAACAGCTCTAGGAGCATGGCAAAGCGGAGCCTGTCCAGTGCATAGACCCCCACACTCTCCCCCAAGGCCGGGAAGGGAGAGAGTGAGGAGGGGGAAAGGCTGCCCACAACACAGCGCAGCTCCTCCCCTTGCACCCAGGATGCAGCCAGGAGCAGCGAGGAATGGAGCGGCTTATATTCGGGGGGGGGTCTCTTTTTTCCCCTCTCCCCCCCCCAATTTTAAAGGTGCGGCCTATATTTGGGTGTGGCTTATATTCAGGCCAATACGGTACTGCATTGGGTACGGCTTGTGGGATTCGACTTTCCTCAGTGGGTAATTTACTGTATTTTTTGCTCCATAAGACGCACCTAGTTTTTAGTGGATGAAAGGGGGAAAGCCCCGTTTTTTGAGGATCAGCTCACAGTTGTGCAGCTTCTTTTGCAAAGCGGAAAAGCCCGTTTTTTGAGGATCAGCTCAAAGTTGTTGAGCTTATTTTGCAAAGGGAAAAAATCCTGTTTTTATGGGGTTCAACTCACAGTTCTGCAGCTTCTTTAGGAAAGGAAAGGGAACCCTTTCTACAGTTTCCAGACAGATAATCTAATCAGCCAGTCCCATGTCGCTGGGGAAACAAACAGCCTCCATCTGCAGAACATTAAAAAATGGAGGCCTGGGCAAGGGAGCCAGCGATGGACCATACATTCGCTCCATAAGACGCACAGACATTTCCCCTTACTTTTTAGGAGGGAAAAAGTGTGCCTTATGGAGTGAAAAATACTGTAATACCCACTGTTTAGAAACAGAATTCAAGCAGCATTGGACTAACTGGCCACCTTGCTAACCAAACTGAATTCCTTCGTTTACATCCATCCTATCAGTTAAAACAAACAAACATTTCTGTAGCATTTAGGGTTCAGTAGGTGCCCGTTTATCGTATTCCTCAGAAATGTCTGCTGTGAGGCACAAGGTAGGCTCCTCACTAAACCTCTCCTCCAACTCTCCCCCCCCTTTAACCTGAAGGTGATTCATTCCAAAAACCTCCTCCGCAGTGGAACCTTAGTCGGCTCCTTCAAAATGGACGTCGGAACCGTTTACACCCAGCCAGGTAGGTGGCAAAAGGTTTTTTTTTCTGGTGTAGAAGGCTGTTCTTGTGCTGTCAGGACGGCGGCAGTCGCTGTGGGAGAAACTTCTCCTTGGCGGTTCAATATGGAGGCTGGCACCAAATTTCCAGTTAGCCAAATTTTATTCATAGAATCATAGAGCTACAAGGGACCCTGAGGGTTTCCTAGTCTGATCCTGTGTAATGCAAGAACGCAGTGAATTATTTTAGCTGTTCATTTCTCTAGTCCAGTGTTTCCCAACCTTGTGCCTCCAGCTGTTTTTGAACTACAACTCCCATCATCCCTGACTAGCAAGACCAGTGGCAAGGGATGATGGGAATTGTAGTCCAAAAACAGCTGGAGGCACAAGGTTGGGAAACACTGCTCTAGTCAACCACCCTCTGCCACCCCAACACCTCACCATCTCTTTATCCAACCACAGTCCTGGGAAACACTTACTCAAACCATTTTTTTTCCTGTGCGTGCAGAGCCCTCGCTGCACTTTATCTGACATTCTTTTTGTGAGAATGTTCAGGGTGGCAGGAGAGGATATATTGTTTATTAATATCCTTCCTAACTTGGGCTAGCAAGTTCCTTTACTTAGCATTACTTTACATTCCCCCTTTTACATGCACAGCAGATCGCTGGTTGCAGGCTCGTGTGAGCCTCTCACTAGTATACAATTCAGTCTGTCTCAGATTGAATTGTACGTTCCTGGTAAGTTCCCTTGAATCCCTCTTAAAAGAATAAAGACGCCACTATCTTTTTCAAAGTCAATAAAAGAAGTTTACTTACATCAGTTCACGGTTGGATCCCTGAAGGCAGACTTAGTTACAAATACAGTGGATGCTCGGGTTGCGAACGTGATCCGTGCAGGATGCACGTCCGCAACCCGCAGCGTCCGCAACCCCCAGCAGTGCGTCTGCACACACGCGGGTTGCAATTTGGCGCTTCTGCACATGCGTTACCACTGAAACCCGGAAGTAACCTGTTCCGGTACTTCCGGGTTTCGGCGGAGCCTCTCACTATTACACAATTCAGTCTGTCTCAGATTGAGTTGTACGTTCCTGGTAACTTCCCTTGAATCCCTCTTAAAAGAATACACCACAATCTTATTTGTAGTCAATAAGAGAAGTTTACTCACATCAGTTCACACTTGGATTCCTGAAGGCAGACTTAGTTAGAAATATGTACATGTGGATCTACTCCATGTGGGGGAATAATCCGAGTGCTGCTGCTAGCTGAGAGCTAGCAGAGCAGTCCTAGCTAGAAGCTGGTCGAACGAAGAAGGGAGTCAAAAAGAGAGAGGTGTGCTCCGTGACTCGTCCTTTTGTTACCTGGACAGGTTAGGTCAAACCCACCTTCTATCACAAGGAACAGGAAGTTTTGACTGGCTGGACCAAACATCCCCTTGCATGTCCACTCTAGGAAAACAAGGAATGTTGCATTTGACTGCTCCCTGTGGGTTACATCCCACAGTTTTTCAGCCGCTAGGATCCTCCTAAACTGCTTGCAGAGTGACACGTTCCTCGCTGATAATGGGTTTCACAGAAGTCTGCCCATCCCCTTCAGTGGGCGCCATTGTGGGCTGGTGTCCCCCCTGGCGTCCCGGGATCCAATGTGGAAAGTCCCAGGGACTGTTTCCCAGGCAGCATTGAGAGCCTAGTGAAGCAGCGGTTCTTGCACCAGTCCACCTGGGGGAACGAAGGCGCGAGGCTCTGCCGAGATGCTCAACTTGTGTGCGATCCTGCCCTCTCCCCGGCCCACCTCACAGGGTCTCATGGTGGCTCCTTGTCTTCTCCTTGCAGAGCACCAGTTCTACCACAAGTGGGCGCTCCTCTCGGACCCGGAGGACATCACCGCGGGGCTGAAGGGTTATGTGAAGGTGGACATCGCGGTGGTGGGCAAAGGAGACAACATCAAGACGCCCCACAAGGCGAACGAGACGGACGAGGATGACATTGAGGGGTGAGGAGGGGAGAGGGCGAGGAAGGAGAGATGAGCAGAGGGAGGGGAAAGGGACGAAGGAGAGAGAGGAGGAGGAGGAGAAGAGGAGTTTGGACTTGATATGCCACCTTTCACTCCCCCTTAAGGCAGGGGTCAGCAAGCTTTACCTCACCTGGGCCAGTTCACTGCAGCGGAGACGCAATGTAGATGTGATTTTCGGCGCCAGAGAAGCAAGTCCCCATGCCAGTTTAACACAGAACATGGGAACTTGGTTTGGGGGCAGCTCATGGGCCAGTTAAATGACCCCCGTGGGCCATTTGTGGCCCAGGGGCCTTAGGTTGCTGACCCCTGCCTTGTTGTTGTTTAGTTATTTAGTGGTGTCCGACTCTTCGTGACCCCCTGGACCAGAGCACGCCAGGCCCTCCTGTCTTCCACTGCCTCCCGCAGTTTGTTCAAACTCATGTTTGTAGCTTCGAGAACACTGTCCCACCATCTCGTCCTCTGTCGTCCCCTTCTCCTTGTGCCCTCCATCTTTCCCAACATCAGGGTCTTTTCCAGGGAGTCTTCTCTTCTCATGAGGTGCCCAAAGTCTTGGAGCCTCAGCTTCAGGATCTGTCCTTCCAGTGAGCACTCAGGGCTGATTTCCTTCAGAATGGAGAGGTTGGATATTCTTGAAGTCCATGGGACTCTCAAGAGTCTCCTCCAGCACCAGAATTCAAAAGCATCAATTCTTAGCGATCAGCCTTCTTTATGGTCCAGCTCTCACTTCCATACATCACTAATGGGAAAACCAGAGCTTGAACTATACGGACCTTTGTCGGCACGGTGATGTCTCTGCTTTTTAAGATGCTATCTAAGGAGTCTCAAAGCGGCTCACAATCTCCTTTCCCTTCCTGCCCCACAACAAACACTCTGTGAGGTGAGTGGGGCTGAGAGACTTCAGAGAAGTGGGACTGGCCCAAGGTCACCCAGCAGCTGCATGTGGAGGAGCGGGGAAGCAAACCCGGTTCACCAGATTACGAGTCCACCGCTCTTAACCACTACACCACTCTTTTACAGATTGTTCTTTGCTGAAAGAAAATTACATGAAAATGATGTATAGATGGTATATAACACCAGTGCAGATAGGAAGAATGTATAAAACTGCTTCAAATATATGCTGGAAATGTAAGGAAAAAGAAGGGACTTTTTACCATATGTGGTGGGACTGTAGTAAGATTTTTTAAAAAATGGGAAATGATATACAATGAGTTGAAGAAAATGTTCCAATTAACATTTGTAAAAAGCCTGAAGCATTTTTGTTAGGGATTGTAGGAAATAACCTGCCGAGGAAATTGAAGAACATTTTCATGTATGCGACAACGGTGGCAAGAGTGCTTCAGGTTTCTTAACAAATGTCAGATGGAACATTTTCTTCAACTCATTGTATATCATTTCCCAAAACGGTCTTGACCGTGTCTTGCAGGAACCTGCTGCTTCCTGACGGTGTCCCTCCGGAGCGGCAGTGGGCGCGCTTCTACATCAAGATCTACCGGGCAGAGGGTCTCCCTCGCATGAACACCAGCATCATGGCCAACGTCAAGAAGGCCCTCATTGGAGAGAACAAGGACCTGGTGGACCCCTACGTCCAGGTCCTCTTTGCAGGACAAAAGGTACGTGGGCATGTTAAGAGAGCCTTGGCCCACCTGAGAGTTCCCCTTGCTTGCAGAGAGACAACTGGCTTTTAAAAATGTGCATCCTTTGGACCATCGCTCTAATCAGTTAGACTGCAACGGCCATTCAATAAATAGAAGAAAATTGAATTATTATATCAGTTTAGATATCAAAAGGTGCTGAAAACAATAACTTTGCTTGTCAAATTTCAAACCACAAGGATCGGCAAGTCCTAGGCTCTGTGGTTTAACAGCGCCACCCACGTCTATTCCTTTAAAGGACTATCCCCTTAAAGGAAGGAATAGTCCCATGCTATTTCTTGTTGGTCAGACCCCACCTGGAGTCCTTGGTCCAATTCTGGGCACCACAATTTAAGAAGGATGATGATAAGTTGGAAGGTGTGCAGAGGAGGGAGACCAAGATGATTCTATGACATTGTAATCTGCTGCGTGGCTCAATCTGGTTGTGGCCTGGGACCTTTGATCAGCCTTAGATGGCCACTGGCTTCTATTAGATCATTCCCAGAAGATCCCTATCAAGGGATGCAGTTCCTGAGGACTATGTGGAACCTCCAGCACCAAGAGTAGCATACGTTTGAATGCAAGTTGCTGGCAAACTACAGTGGGAGAACGTGGTGTCTGTAGGCTTCCTGGGAACATCTGCCTCTCCACTCTTGGAGACAGGATACTGGGCTAGACAGACCTTCATGTTTTGGCCCATTGAGGTTCTTCTGGTATCCTTATCTCCTTATGTCTTTCTCAGGGGAAAACCTCGGTCCAGAAAAGCAGCTACGAGCCCACGTGGAACGAGCAGATTGTCTTCACGGAAATGTTCCCCCCACTGTGCAAGCGGATCAAGGTCCAGATCCGCGATTCTGACAAGGTCAACGACGTGGCCATTGGGACCCATTTCATCGACCTCAGGAAGATCTCCAACGAAGGAGACAAAGGTGAGGTGAAGCACGAACGAAGTGCCATTGTTTTGCAAAAAAGCAAAAACAAAACCGGCACAGCATATCCGGGATAGACTTAATATTAGTTTGGTCTAATTTTCTTTTAAAGTCATCCAATTCCCTGGTCCTGAATGGGGCAACTGTGCCCCTGAAGGACCAGGTGCGCAGCCTGGGAGTCATTTTGGACTCACAGCTGTCCATGGAAGTGCAGATCAGTTCTGTGTCCAGGGGAGCTGTTTACCAGCTCCATCTGGTACGCAGGCTGAGACCCTATCTGCCTGTGGACTGCCTCGCCAGAGTGGTGCATGCTCTGGCTATCTCCCGCTTGGACTACTGCAATGCGCTCTACGTGGGGCTACCTTTGAAGGTGACCCGGAAACTACAACTAATCCTGAACGCGGCAGCCAGACTGGTGACTGGGAGCGACCGCCAAGACCATATATCACCGGTCTTGAATGACCTACATTGACTCCCAGTTTCTGGGCACAATTCAAAGTGTTGGTGCTGACCTTTAAAGCCCTAAATGGCCTTGGTCCAGTATATCTGAAGGAGCGTCTCCACCCCCATCATTTTACCCGGACACTGAGGTCCAGAACCAAGGGCCTTCTGGCGGTTCCCTCGCTGCGAGAAGCCAAGTTACAGGGAACCAGGCAGAGGGCCTTCTCGGTAGTGGCACCTGCCCTGTGGAACGCCCTCCTACCAGATGTCAAAGAGAACAATAGCTACCAGACTTTTAGAAGACATCTGAAGGCAGCCCTGTTCAGGGAAGCTTTTAATGTTTGATGCATTACAGTTTTTTAATATTTGTTTGGAAGCTGCCCAGAGTGGCTGGGGAAGCCCAGCCAGATGGGCAGGGTATAAATAAATTATTATTATTTGGTGTCTGCTATTGCCTCCTGCTGGAGCGAGTTCCACAGGTTAACGACGTGCTGCGTCAACATTGACCTTCTTCCCTTTGCTCTGCTATTCTTGGCCAGGCTTCCTGCCCACGTTTGGCCCTGCCTGGGTGAACATGTATGGCTCCACCCGCAACTACACCCTGATGGACGAGCACCAGGACTTGAACGAGGGCCTGGGCGAAGGGGTTTCCTTCCGTGCCCGCCTCCTGCTCAGCTTGGCCGTGGAAATCTTGGATACCAGCAACCCGGAGCTCACCAGCTCCACCGAAGTCCAAGTCGAGATGGCCACGGCAGTTGCCGACGTAAGTCTCTGATCCTGGCGCAACCCAGCCAGATGGGCGGTGTATAAATAATAAAATTATTGTTATTATCATCTATTCCTTGCTAGTTCTTGTTTATCCTGTGGTTCCTTAAGCTCCCCCGCAAGGGTAGCAGGGAACAATAGCTTTTCTAAGGACTTCCTTCCCCTGGGATTTAGCTCCTGACTTGTGAGTTATTGCAGGATTTGAACCCTAGAGGCAATGCCTTTATTTCTCTCAGTTGCTTTTAATACATGGGTCTTATTTCTTGCATTGCACGGGGTTAGACTAGATGATTCCTAGGGTTCCTTCCAACTCTACGGTTCTATGATTCTATACCCTCTCCTCGCACATCTGCTGAATGTGCCTTGATGCTTCGTCAGTTAGGGTTCCCTCTAGACGGATCCAGCAAGTTCTTATGTCCTTTTGTTCTAATATTTTTTTATATTTTTTCCATACCCTAAAAATTGATTTCCTTATTATATGATTCTGAAAACCTTCATGTACCTTTGCTTTCTTCATACCATAAAGATGCCTGCCATCCAAATCTGTTATCATGTCCTCCTAAATCTAAAATATCCCCATTTCTCAATATTATCCCATCCCGGATCCTCATAATATAGTTTTAAGTCCAGCAGGGCGAACCCCACCCCTTAACATCTGACAGCAATTTATATTTTATCCTTGGTTTCTTCCCTTGCCAGAAGAATCTGGAAATATTTTTTGCCATTTTTTAAAGCACCGAGTACCGCCTATCACCAGGATCAATTGGAATAAAAATAACATTCTTAGCAAGACAATCATTTGAATCACTGATATTCTTTCCCAGAACGATAAATTCATTCTACCCCAAATCTCCAAATTCCTAAGTTCTTCTTATGTCCTTCTCCCACCCCACAGAACTGCACGGGCAAGATGGACGAGTTCTTTCTCTTTGGATCCTTCCTAGAGGCCACCATGATTGACAGGAAGAATGGAGACAAGCCCATCAACTTTGAGGTCACCATAGGTTGGTATGGCTTCATTAAGGGATGGGGTGAGCAGCCCCACCAAGGAGGGGCATTGGCCTTCTGGGGTGCTGTGCGCACAGAACTGTGAGCATTTAACTCCCGTTTGCAGCAAATAAACTCAGTCCTTTACAGCAGAGTGCAGCAGAAGCAACTGTGGCTGGAATAGTAACATCAAAGGGTTTTATTTAGAAAGCAAATAACGAAACAACAAGGCAACTCTCACATCCGTCTTCTTCCATAGTCAGAGTCAAAAACAAGCATAAGGAAAACAAGAGCAGTAGAGCAGAGAGGGGAGAGGGAGGAGACATTTAAATAGTTCCCATACTCATACATCAATTGAGCAATTAAAGGCAGCCTGCAACATTATGCAATGTGAGAATGAAACATTACAAGAACCATGTGCAAAATGTGGCATTGGAAGAAGAGCATGGGCTCTCTGAGGACCAAGCGTGTAGAAATATAAAGGCCAGGACTAGCCGCCTGAGAAACAGTTTCTACGCAAATGCAATTCTGGTTTTAAACGCAGCATAAGGGGTCTCTATAGTATAGTGTATTTTAAAATGGGGTTTCAGAGTTTTTAGGGGGTTTTGAAAGTTTTATGTAGTTTTTATGTCGTTTTATGTAGTTTTATGTAGTTTTGTAGTAGTAGTTTTATGTAGTTTTCAATTTCATTGTTCTGCATGGGACAATGACAATAAAGATATTGTATATCGTATATTGTATATCGTAACGGAGGACGTCAGGAGGTTGAATGCAGGTGAGCTGTGCAGAAGCGGGCTCCAAGCAAGCTGCCGACTAGCTGTGCAGAGGCTCCTTTTATTAGCAGAAGTCAACAATTGGAAACAGTCGTGAAACCACTCTGAACATGATGCATCTCCACCTAAGCACATTTCTAGCGTTGTCAAATACACGTGTCAGCAGGTGTTTCCCTAAAATGTTTTCCCCCATACTTGATTACATCTGCGTCCCCGCTCACGCTCCAGCCAAGCGTTATGTCTAGTAACCAAAACTGTGAGAGGACAAATGGTCAGGGGGAAAACCCTGTTTTCTAGCCAAGAAGGCAAAAGGTCAGGGAGCGTGGGTGCAAGGCTCCTTGGCACGCTGTGGCATGCCGGGTGCGAGGTGTGCCTCAGCACCGGTGGAGCGTCACTCCCACAAAGTGGTATCAGAAATAGAATCTGAGGCTTCTTCTTCTTTGGCGATCCTTCGTAGCCGAGTAAGATTGTCTTCCATAAACACGGTCTTAACAGTGAGTCCATAAGTGACTGTGGAGGCCAATTCTGGATCCACACGTCCTTCCACAGTGGGGAATAGGTCTCCGGCCAGGAGTTGATCATGGTGAGGGTTTGCCAAGCGTGCCTTCCTCTTGGCACGTTTCTCCCTTGCGTCCTGAGTTCGAGTGTCTTCAAAGCCCATGACACCTTTGGTAAAGGCTGTTCTCCAATTGAAGCGCTCGCAGGCCAGTGTTTCCCCGTTGTCGGTGTTTATGCTACATTTTCTTAGATCTGCCTTGAGACAGTCTTTAAACCTCTTTTGTTGACCACCGGCATGACGTGCTGCCCTTGACTCAGAATATTCCTGAACTGTGTATCACAAGATCCTAGGGTTGCATAGTTCAAAAAGTGTAGATCCAGAAACAAAAGTTTTGAGGGGTAAATACCGGCTACGTCTGGGAAATTCCGGATGTATGCCAACCCTAGTTCCCTCCGACTCTGCTGTTCCATGGTGAGTCTATCCCTTCCGTTTCCCCCAGGCAATTACGGCAATGAAATCGACGGGATGTCCAGGCCCATGATCAAGAAGAAGAAGGATAGTGGAGGAGATGGAAACGAGGAAGAGTCTCAGCTGCTGGAGAACGAGAGTGACGAGGAAAGCACAGACGACGGGGAGTTTGTCTCCATCTCCTCTTCTCCACCTTTGAGGCCTTTGATCACCGACAGGCAAGTGAAACTTTGGCCGGTCCGGTTGACGTGAAAAACCTTGTTGTTGGAAGGGGTGGTGGAGAGAGGTCCCAGAACTTCTTCTTTCCTCCTTGTGTCCCTTTGGTCATCACCTAGTATGGTCCATCAAGGGCAGTAGCGCTGAGCTGACCCCGGAGGACTCCCTTGCAGGGTTGGTGGGCTGATTTAATGCACACATTTATTTCGATGAGAACATAGGCTCACAGAACCAACACAATTCAAAGTGTTGGTGCTGACCTTTAAACCCCGAAGCAGCTACCTGAAGGAGCGTCTCCACCTCCATCGTTCTGCCCAGACACTGAGGTCCAGCTCCAAGGGCCTTCTGGTGGTTCCCTTATTGCAAGAAGTGAGGTTACAGGGAACCAGGCAGAGGGCCTTCTTGGTGGTGGCACCTGCCCTGTGGAACGCCCTCCCACCAGATGTCAAAGAGAACAACAACTACCAGACTTTTAGAAGACATCGGAAGACAGCCCTGTTTAGGGAAGCTTTTAATGTTTGATGCATTATGGTATTTTAATATTTTGTTGGATATTCCCCAGAGTGGCTGGGGAAGCCCAACCAGATGGGCAGGGTATAAATAATAAAATATGACTATGATTATGATGATCAAAGAAGGTCCCCAGCACTCTCACTTCCTCCCAGCTGATTAAGACATTACAGGCTGTTCTCAGCCATCCAAGAACTTAACAAGAGACAGGGATGGGGAAGGAACAGAGGCAGGAAGGGTAACCAGATCAGATCACTAACTCCTCGAAATACAATTTATCTTCCGGATAGATCGCCCATACAATGGCCCATCTAACCATGGGTAGCCAATTATTTGTAAGAAGTCTACAGGGAGGGTTTCATGGTGGCAGAGACCATTTGGCGGCATGCTGCCTCTGAACTTAGCTGCTTCCTTGAGAACGTATCATAGCTAACAGCCTGTGATAAGTTCTCTGAAAGCCAGCTAAGCCAGCAACCATCTCTGCATCTTGTGGCAGGGAGTTCCGTATGTTCTGAACAGTTGCTGCCTCAACTCCTGAGGTTTACCGCCTGCTCCTTCCTCCCCCTGCTCCCAGGAACTACTTCCACCTGCCATATTTTGAGAAGAAGCCTTGCATCTACATTAAGAGCTGGTGGCAGGACCAGCGAAGGCGTCTCTACAACTCCAATATCATGGACAAGATTGCGGACAAGCTGGTGGGTCTGGAGGAGGTGTGGGGTGGGGAGGGAAACACTGCGGTGACCCATGGCTCCAGTTGCTAGATGACCCTCGGCCCTTCCAACTCTGCAATTCTATCTTCTTCTTCTTTGGCGATCCCTCGTAGTCAAGTAAGATTGTCTTCCATAAACACGGTTTTAACAGTGAGTCCATAAGTGACTGTGGAGGCCAATTCTGGATCCACACGTCCTTCCACAGTGGGGACATTGGTTTCCGGGTGGGAGTTGATCACGGTGTGGATTTGCCAAGCGTGCCTTCCTCTTAGCACGTTTCTCCCTTTTGTCCTGAGTTTGAGTATCTTCAAAGCCCATGACACCTTTGGTAAAGGCTGTTCTCCAATTGGAGCGCTCGCAGACCAATGTTTCCCAATTGTTGGTGTTTATACTACATTTTGAGGGACGCGGGTGGCGCTGTGGGTTAAACCACAGAGCTTAGGACTTGCCGATAAGAAGGTTGGCAGTTCAAATCCCCGCGACGGGGTGAGCTCCCGTTGCTCGGTCCCTGCTCCTGCCAAACTAGCAGTTTGAAAGCACGTCAAAGTGCAAGTAGATAAATAGGTACCGCTCCGGTGGGAAGGTAAACGGCATTTCCGTGCGCTGCTCTGGTTCGCCAGAAGCGGCTTAGTCCTGCTGGCCACATGACCCGGAAGCTGTACGCCGGTTCCCTCGGCCAGTAAAGCGAGATGAGCGCCGCAACCTCAGAGTCGGCCACGACTGGACCTAATGGTCAGGGGTCCCTTTACCTTTACCTATATACTACATTTTTTAAAATTTGCTTTGAGAGAGTCTTTAAACCTCTTTTGTTGACCACCAGCATTACGCTTTCCACTTTTAAGTTCGGAATAGAGTAGTTGCTTTGGAAGACGATCATCAGGCATCCTCACAACATGACCAGTCCAACGAAGGTGATGTTGAAGAATCATTGCTTCGACACTGGTGATCTTTGCTTCTTCCAGTACACTGGCATTAGTTCGCCTGTCTTCCTGAGCTCCGCCCTGCCTGGTAGCTCTGCAACATTGACGGTTGTTTCTGACCTTCCAGGAAGAAGGCTTGAATGATGTTCATGAGATGATGAAGACTGAGAAGCCCCACCCGGAACGGCGCCTCCGAGGGGTTCTGGAGGAGCTGAGCAGTGCATGCCTGTGAGTCAGCCACAACTGGGGGGAGAAGGACCCTCAAAATATCAGGAAGTTGCAAGGGAAGGGCAATGAGATTCGGCCCGCTGCCAAACTGTCTCCTCAAGTCTGGGCGCGCGCACACCCACCCACCCACCCTGCAAGACCATCTTTGCTTCCCTTTCTTGTTGGCACCACCTTAAGTCTCTCTTCTCTGCCCCACCCCTTGACCTGTCCCAACAGGCGGTTTGTGACCCTCTCCAACAAGGACCAGAATCATTCCTCCCGGACGCGGCTGGACCGGGAGAGGCTGAAATCCTGCATGCGGGAACTGGTGAGTGTCTCTCCAGGTTGGGAGCCCCCTGCTGGGGGGGGAGGAAAATTGAATGGGCAGGGGCTGCAGTGGTCATGGTGCCTGCAATGAAGGCGGAGGTTCCCAACAGAGCCTTTTCCACACCCTTTTCCTAGCCCAAATGCAACACAACAGCCCTGCAGTGTTGCCAGTGGGCACGATTCTCTGGTCGTTGCTGCCCCCACCCTCCCATATCCTAGTCCAAGATCAAAGCAGCTAGATCATTTCCCTGGTGGACCCCCCACCTAAACGTCCTAAAATATCTGAAGAAGTGTGCGTGCACACGAAAGCTTGTACCAAGAACAAACTCAGTTGGTCTCTAAGGTGCTACTGGACAATTATATATATATATATATTCCTAAAATATTATTATTTATTGAATTTTTATACTGCCCTATACCTGGAGGTCTCAGGGTGGTTCACAGAATGAAATATAAAACCACAAAATATATAATCAAAATAAAAACAACAACCCAGTACCCCGCCCCAAACCACATTTTAAAAGGGCGTAGGGACACAGAGCAATGCACTCTGCTTATGAGTTACTCAGAGTGTAAAGGCAGAGGTGGTGGTCTCTTACAACCTTCGTCCTAAACTTCCAGTAGCATGAATTCCAAGTGATGTGGAGGATTCTAAAATTCACACACACACGTCAGTAGTCAAATTATGAAACGTTATTAAAAATAAAAGGAGGAGGAAAAGCAACTTCATTGTCCAGAAAAGGAGGAGGAAAAGCAACTTCATTGTCCAGAAAGTGGGAGAAGCAACAAGAGGAACAGCCATTTTAGATCTGGTCCTAACCAATGTTGATGACCTGGTTAGTGGGGTAGAAGTGGAAGGATCATTAGGCGCGAGTGATCATGCTCTTCTGAAGTTTACTATACAGCGGAAAGGAGCAGCCAAGCATACTAGGACTCAATTTCTCGACTTTAAGAAAGCCGACTTCATAAAGCTTAGGGAAGTGCTGGGTGAGATCCCATGGACAGTAATACTAAAAGGAAAGGGAGTTCAAGATGGCTGGGAGTTTGTTAAGAGGGAGATAGTAAAAGCACAACTTCAGGCAATACCAATGAGACGGAAACATGGAAGGTGCCTAAAGAAGCCAGGGTGGCTATCTAAAGAACTTTTAACTGAGTTAAGATTAAAAAAGGATGTGTACAAAAAATGGAAAAGGGGGGAAACCACCAAAGAGGAATTCAAACAAATAGCCAGCACGTGTAGACACAAAGTCAGAAAAGCTAAAGCACAAAATGAACTCAGGCTTGCTAGAGAGGTTAAAAGCAACAAAAAAGGCTTTTATGGGTATGTTCGTAGCAAAAGGAAGAACAAAGAAACCGTGGGGTCACTCAGAGGAGAAGATGGTGAAATGCAAACAGGGGACACAGAAAGGGCTGAACTCCTCAATGCTTTCTTTGCCTCAGTCTTCTCCGATAAAGAAAACAATGCCCGACCTGAAGAATTTGGAGCAAATGATTCAGCAGAGGAAACACAACCCAGAATAACTAAGGAGATAGTACAAGAATACTTGGCTAGTCTAGATGTATTCAAGTCTCCAGGGCCAGATGAACTGCATCCAAGAGTATTAAAAGAACTGGCAGATGTGATTTCAGAACCACTGGCAGTCATCTTTGAGAATTCCTGGAGAACAGGCGAAGTCCCGGCAGACTGGAGGAGGGCAAATGTTGTCCCTATTTTCAAAAAGGGGAAAAGAGAGGACCCAAATAATTACCGCCCAGTCAGTCTGACATCAATACCAGGGAAGATTCTGGAGCAGATAATTAAGCAAACAGTCTGTGAGCACCTAGAAAGGAATGCTGTGATCACCAATAGTCAGCATGGATTTCTGAAAAATAAGTCATGTCAGACTAACCTGATCTCGTTTTTTGACAGAATTACAAGCCTGGTAGATGAAGGGAACGCAGTGGATGTAGTCTACCTTGATTTCAGCAAGGCATTTGACAAGGTGCCCCATGATATTCTTGTAAAGAAGCTGGTAAAATGCGGTCTTGACTATGCTACCACTCAGTGGATTTGTAACTGGCTGACTGACCGAACCCAAAGGGTGTTCATCAATGGTTCCTCTTCATCCTGGAGAAGAGTGACTAGTGGGGTGCCACAGGGTTCTGTCTTGGGCCCGGTCTTATTCAACATCTTTATCAACGACTTGGATGATGGACTCAAGGGCATCCTGATCAAATTTGCAGATGACACCAAACTGGGAGGGGTGACTAACACCCCAGAGGACAGGATCACACTTCAAAACGACCTTGACAGATTAGAGAACTGGGCCAAAACAAACAAGATGAATTTTAACAGGGAGAAATGTAAAGTATTGCACTTGGGCAAAAAAAATGAGAGGCACAAATACAAGATGGGGGACACCTGGCTTGAGAGCAGTACATGTGAAAAGGATCTAGGAGTCTTGGTTGACCACAAACTTGACATGAGCCAACAATGTGACGCGGCAGCTAAAAAAGCCAATGCAATTCTGGGCCTCATCAATAGGAGTATAGCATCTAGATCAAGGGAAGTAATAGTGCCACTGTATTCTGCTCTGGTCAGACCTCACCTGGAGTACTGTGTCCAGTTCTGGGCACCACAGTTCAAGAAGGACACTGACAAACTCGAACGTGTCCAGAGGAGGGCAACCAAAATGGTCAAAGGCCTGGAAACGATGCCTTATGAGGAACGGCTAAGGGAGCTGGGCATGTTTAGCCTGGAGAAGAGGAGGTTACGGGGTGATATGATAGCCATGTACAAATATATAAAAGGATGTCACATAGAGGAGGGAGAAAGGCTGTTTTCTGCTGCTCCAGAGAAGCGGACACGGAGCAATGGATCCAAACTACAAGAAAGAAGATTCCACCTAAACATTAGGAAGAACTTCCTGACAGTAAGAGCTGTTTGACAGTGGAATTTGCTGCCAAGGAGTGTGGTGGAGTCTCCTTCTTTGGAGGTCTTTAAGCAGAGGCTTGACAACCATATGTCAGGAGTACTCTGATGGTGTTTCCTGCTTGGCAGGGGGTTGGACTCGATGGCCCTTGTGGTCTCTTCCAACTCTATGATTCTATGATTCTATGAGAAGGTCAAAACAGAATACAAAATAAACCAGAGCATTGTGGCTCTAAAATTGAACTAATCCTAGCTTATTCCTGACACTATAGCTGTTACCCATTGTGGGAATGGATTTAGACACCAGTTATTTTCCTTCCTTGCTCACGCTTATGAGATCATCGGAGTATCATCCTTTGCAGCTTAAATTTGGAAGCTGAGACAAGATATATTTTAGCTTCTACAAACAATAATCCAGGATGCTCTAAAGGCAGACTGGATTCTCCTGGTATTACCCATTTTCTCCCCCTTATAAATAATAATCACACATACATTGTTTCGTAAAAAAGTAAAAGTAGTGTTTACTTACATACGTGGGTATCGAAGCAACAATTGCAGTAGCGAAAAGAAGGCGGGTTTATAATGACTATGTGAATTACAAAAGTACAGAATCTAAGTTCAAAATTGTGTCTGAGCTATGGAGCTCAGACACCCATGTGTGGTCAGCTTGGAGTTCTTTCTAGCAATTTTTACAGGAAAGTTCTGTGACCCTCGGCCTTTTCATGTGTCCATCAGGCAAAACATGAATGGTTGGTTTTGACTGCAGTAATGATGCACACAAGTAAGCAGCAAGGATAGTCATCTTCGCCCTAAATCAGGTCTGGATCCTGGATGGTGAGAGCGAACACAACTGCAGGGAGGCTCTTTTTAAGGCCCTCTCCCTTGTCTTCGGAGAGAGGGACTTCCAAACCTTGCTGACCAATGGGCCGTTACATTTCTGTGCCAAGGAAATAGGGTGCGATTGTGGGAAAGGGAATGCAATCGATTGTGGATCATTTGTGGGCTCAAAAACAGGCTTGATTGATTTCTGGCCATTGGGGGAGCCAGCAAACGTTGGAAATTCCCACTGCTTCCATTCTCATTCCGATTGCCGTTTTCCAACATCCCTTCTCCAAGACCAGCATAAACACCTGTGTTTGAACAGTCACATTTTCTAAAGTAAAGTAAGATAGCAACAGACATCAGCAGAGCCTGCAGTAACCCCAGTTTGTAGACAGGGATGTTGAGTCTCACCCAATTCCATAAATTCATATCATTTTTGCAGTCCAATGCTTCCTGCTCTTTCATCCCCCTGACATCTCTCTCTCTCTCTCTCTCTCTCTCTCTCTCTCTCTCTCTCTCTCTCTCTCTCCTTGCATCCAACACCTTGCAGGAGACAATGGGTCAGCAGGCCAAGACCATGCGATCCCAGGTCAAGAAAACCACCATCAGAGACAAGCTGAAGCAGGCACAGAACTTCTTGCAAAAGCTGCGGTTCCTGGCAGATGAGGTGAGGTGACCAGGTTCATCCATATGTAACTTGAGCCTTGCTTAAATATCTCAGCACTGGGCTTTGAGCAGCCAAACATGCAGGAACCGGGAAACACAAGGGGCTGGATTGAATGACCCTTTGATCTCCTTCCTAATCTGTGTACGTTTCCGAGCACAATTCAAAGTGTTGGTGCTGACCTTGAAAGCCCTAAATGTAAACGGCCTTGGTCCTGTAGACCTGAAGGAGCATCTCCACCCCCATCGTTCTGCCCGGACGCTGAGGTCCAGCGCCGAGGGTCTTCTGGCGGTTCCCTCGCTGCGAGAAGCCAAGTTACAGGGAACCAGGCAGAGGGCCTTCTCGGTGGTGGCATCCGCCCTGTGGAACACCCTCCCACCAGATGTCAAAGAGAACAACAACTACCAGACTTTTAGAAGACATCTAAAGGCAGCCCTCTTTGGGGAAGCTTATAATGTTTAATAGGTTATTGTGTTTTGTTGGAAGCTGCCCAGAGTGGCTGGGGAAACACAGCCAGATGGGCAGGGTATAAATAAAATAAATAATAATAATAATAATAATAATAATAATAATAATAATAATACTGTGGTTCTATGAAGTTTGCACTGGATCCACGTGGCAGATTCAGCCCTGAAGACAGGAGCACAGGGGATTGTGGGCAAATTGCCTCTTGAAGTGGGCAAGCTGTTACGCCAGGGTGGCAAGTATTTGGGAGACCAGGAGCTGAGTTCAAGAAGAGCTTAGGTCACAGGCAGACAGAGGAGTCCAAAGGCAGCAAGAAGAATCAGGCAGAGCCAGAGACAAGGAGAACCAAGTTCAAGAGAGACTGGGTAAAACCCTTAGAACAGGAAGTGGGAGCTGGTGCTTGAAAATGGGGAGTGGCTTCCCCAGGTGTTATTTCCTGGGCTCCTGGGTGAGGTCACTTGCTGCCCCTTGGGCAGCGCCTTGCAGAGCCAGGCAGAGGCCCAGGCCAGGTAGATAATGTGCCCCCCTTTTTTTTACCCTGGGTAAAATCAATTTTTAAGTAGACAAATTTGACTATTAATTATAATTAAATTATAAGTATAATTAAAGCTTCTCCGTCTTCTTATTGTACGCTTTAAAAAGATGTATGCAAGTGAGAAAGCCACTATTGCTCCTAAGCCACTATTTCTTTAAAAATCATGGTTCCCACCCAATTTTATCCTCATTGAGCTATATGTACTCCTCGGGTATAAGTAACATTCCTGGCCTAGTCAACCAAATTTTAAACAAATGGTCACATCTTCATCCATTTTTCATCCTTTTCAAAAAAAAAATTGCGATAAGAAAGCCAACACGCTTATCTTTAAGGTACGTGTGGTTTTAATTTTTGGCAAACAAGATTTCAAACAAAAGCTCACCAACTTTTAACAGCATGAAAAACGTGGTCCACCATCACGTTCGCGGCGCACTGGCTGCTGGGGCCTTGGTCGCCTCCACCCACCCGGCGCCCGTTCCGCGCTCCTCTGCGGAGCCGATCGTAGGTCCCGCTCCGGACGCCGGGGAAGCTTTTCTCTCGCGCTGCCAGCCATGGCCCCAGGGAATCCGCCCATTCTTTGCGCCTCCGCGTTCGGCCCAGTGCATCCCCTGCGATTGGGAATATGCTGACTGAGCCCCCTTTGGAAGCGGGGGCTCGGGCCAAGTGGCCCATATGCCCCCCCCTCGGTCTGGGCCTGCCCCTGGGTGCAATTGGTTGCGATGGATGGAGAGGCTAGCTCCAGTGTTCCTGGGTGCCTCTCAGCTCTTGAGCCTTCTCTCTGCTCCCTCTCCTCCCTTCCCAGCCCCAGCACAGCATCCCGGACGTCTTCATCTGGATGATGAGCAACAACAAGCGCATCGCCTACGCCCGCATCCCCTCCAAGGACATCCTCTACTCCATCGTGGACGAGGAAACGGGGAAGGACTGCGCCAAAGTGAAGACCGTCTTCCTGAGGGTGACGTGGCGGCTGATTTTTAACCCCCTCCTTGGGTCGCAGTTGATGGGTGGACGGATGAGGGGAGGCTGGGAGGGGGGAGGGCATGAGAGGTGCAACTTAGAAAAGAGGTAGGTGGATAAGAAGCATCTCAGGTGCCAAAGCCGCCTTGTCTGCTCCGCCATCATTTCAGAGTGTCAGAGGCTGCCCGGCCTTCAGCAGTTGTAGAATTCAGAAAGCCTTTCAAAAAGTTAAAATGGCAATAGACTGGGAACCAATTAAAACTCATGCCAGCTTTCTAAACATATGGTACCCTGAGCAAGGACAAAATTGGTTCCCTTTCTGCCTCACCTTCCATTCTGCACATGCTCTCTCCCCCCCCCCACTACACACACACACACACACACCGTATTTTCCGGCGTATAAGACGACCCTCCCAACTTTTCCAGTTAAAATATAGAGTTTGGGATACACTCGCCGTAAAAGACTACCCCTCTTCCAACGCACACCAAATAACAATTTAAAAAACCAGTGCAACTTCATTGTCCAGAAAAGGAGGAGGAAAAGCAACTTCATTGTCCAGAAAGTGGGAGAAGCAACAAGAGGAACAGCCATTTTAGATCTGGTCCTAACCAATGTTGATGACCTGGTTAGTGGGGTAGAAGTGGAAGGATCATTAGGCGCGAGTGATCATGCTCTTCTGAAGTTTACTATACAGCGGAAAGGAGCAGCCAAGCATACTAGGACTCAATTTCTCGACTTTAAGAAAGCCGACTTCATAAAGCTTAGGGAAGTGCTGGTGAGATCCCATGGACAGTAATACTAAAAGGAAAGGGAGTTCAAGATGGCTGGGAGTTTGTTAAGAGGGAGATAGTAAAAGCACAACTTCAGGCAATACCAATGAGACGGAAACATGGAAGGTGCCTAAAGAAGCCAGGGTGGCTATCTAAAGAACTTTTAACTGAGTTAAGATTAAAAAAGGATGTGTACAAAAAAATGGAAAAGGGGGGAAACACACAAAGAGGAATTCAAACAAATAGCCAGCACGTGTAGACACAAAGTCAGAAAAGCTAAAGCACAAAATGAAACTCAGGCTTGCTAGAGAGGTTAAAAGCAACAAAAAAGGCTTTTAATGGGTATGTTCGTAGGCAAAAGGAAGAAACAAAGAAACCGTGGGGTCACTCAGAGGAGAAGATGGTGAATGCAACAGGGGACACAGAAAGGGCTGAACTCCTCAATGCTTTCTTTGCCTCAGTCTTCTCCGATAAAGAAAACAATGCCCGACCTGAAGAATTTGGAGCAAATGATTCAGCAGAGGAAACACAACCCAGAATAACTAAGGAGATAGTACAAGAATACTTGGCTAGTCTAGATGTATTCAAGTCTCCAGGGCCAGATGAACTGCATCCAAGAGTATTAAAGAACTGGCAGATGTGATTTCCAGAACCACTGGCAGTCATCTTTGAGAATTCCTGGAGAACAGGCGAAAGTCCCGGCAGACTGGAGGAGGGCAAATGTTTGCCCTATTTTCAAAAAGGGGAAAAGAGAGGACCAAATAATTACCGCCCAGTCAGTCTGACATCAATACCAGGGAAGATTCTGGAGCAGATAATTAAGCAAACAGTCTGTGAGCACCTAGAAAGGAATGCTGTGATCACCAATAGTCAGCAATGGATTTCTGAAAAATAAGTCATGTCAGACTAACCTGATCTTCGTTTTTTGACAGAGATTACAAGCCTGGTAGATGAAGGGAACGCAGTGGATGTATCTTACCTTGATTTCAGCAAGGCATTTGACAAGGTGCCCATGATATTCTTGTAAAAGAAGCTGGTAAAATGCGGTCTTGACTATGCTACCACTCAGTGGATTTGTAACTGGCTGACTGACCGAACCCAAAGGGTGTTCATCAATGGTTCCTCTTCATCCTGGAGAAGAGTGACTATGTGGGTGCCACAGGGTTCTGTCTTGGGCCCGGTCTTACTCAACATCTTTATCAACGACTTGGATGAATGGACTCAAGGGCATCCTGATCAAATTTGCAGATGACACCAAACTGGGAGGGGTGGCTAACACCCCAGAGGACAGGATCACACTTCAAAACGACCTTGACAGATTAGAGAACTGGGCAAAAGGCAAACAAGATGAATTTTAACAGGGAGAAATGTAAAGTATTGCACTTGGGCAAAAAAAATGAGAGGCACAAATACAAGATGGGTGACACCTGGCTTGAGAGCAGTACATGTGAAAAGGATCTAGGAGTCTTGGTTGACCACAAACTTGACATGAGCCAACAGTGTGACGCGGCAGCTAAAAAAGCCAATGCAATTCTGGGCTGCATCAATAGGAGCATAGCATCTAGATGAAGGGAAGTAATAGTGACACTGTATTCTGCTCTGGTCAGACCTCACCTGGAGTACTGTGTCCAGTTCTGGGCACCACAATTCAAGAAGGACACTGACAAACTGGAACGTGTCCAGAGGAGGGCAACCAAAATGGTCAAAGGCCTGGAAACGATGCCTTATGAGGAACGGCTAAGGGAGTTGGGCATGTTTAGCCTGGAGAAGAGGAGGTTAAGGGGTGATATGATAGCCATGTTCAAATATATAAAATATATAAAAGGATGTCACATAGAGGAGGGAGAAAGGTTGTTTTCTGCTGCTCCAGACAAGCGGACACGGAGCAATGGATCCAAACTACAAGAAAGAGATTCCACCTAAACATTAGGAAGAACTTCCTGACAGTAAGAGCTGTTCGACAGTGGAATTTGCTGCCAAGGAGTGTGGTGGAGTCTCCTTCTTTGGAGGTCTTTAAGCAGAGGCTTGACAACCATATGTCAGGAGTGCTCTGATGGTGGTTTCCTGCTTGGCAGGGGGTTGGACTCGATGGCCCTTGTGGTCTCTTCCAACTCTATGATTCTATGATTCTATGAGAAGGTCAAAACAAATACAAAATAAACAGAGCATTGTGGCTCTAAAATTGAACTAATCCTAGCTTATTCCTGACACTATAGCTGTTACCCATTGTGGGAATGGATTTAGACACCAGTTATTTTCCTTCCTTGTCACGCTTATGAGATCATCGGAGTATCATCTTTTGCAGCTTAAATTTGGAAGCTGAGACAAGATATATTTTAGCTTCTACAAACAATAATCCAGGATGCTCTAAAGGCAGACTGGATCTCCTGGTATTACCCATTTTCTCCCCTTATAAATAATAATCACACATACATTGTTTCGTAAAAAAAGTAAAAGTAGTGTTTACTTACATACGTGGGTATCGAAGCACAATTGCAGTAGCGAAAAGAAGGCGGGTTTATAATGACTATGTGAATTACAAAAGTACAGAATCTAAGTTTCAAAATTGTGTCTGAGCTATGGAGCTCAGACACCCATGTGTGGTCAGACTGGAGTTCTTTCTAGCAATTTTTACAGGAAAGTTCTGTGACCCTCGGCCTTTTCATGTGTCCATCAGGCAAAACATGAATGGTTGGTTTTGACTGCAGTAATGATGCACACAAGTAAGCAGCAAGGATAGTCATCTCGCCCTAAATCAGGTCTGGATCCTGGATGGTGAGAGCGAACACAACTGCAGGGAGGCTCTTTTTAAGGCCTCTCTCCTTGTCTTCGGAGAGAGGGACTTCCAAACCTTGCTGACCAATGGGCCGTTACATTTCTGTGCCAAGGAAATAGGGGTGCGATTGTGGGAAAGGGAATGCAATTCGATTGTGGATCATTTGTGGGCTCAAAAACAGGCTTGATTGATTTCTGGCCATTGGGGGAGCCAGCAAACGTTGGAAATTCCACTGCTTCCATTCTCATTCCGATTGCCGTTTCCCAACATCCCTTCTCCAAGACCAGCATAAACACCTGTGTTTGAAACAGTCACATTTTCTAAAGTAAAGTAAGATAGCAACAGACATCAGCAGAGCCTGCAGTAACCCCAGTTTGTAGACAGGGATGTTTGAGTCTCACCCAATTCCATAAATTCATATCATTTTTGCAGTCCAATGCTTCCTGCTCTTTAATCCCCCTGACATCTCTCTCTCTCTCTCTCTTCTCTTCTCTCTCTCTCTCTCTCTTCTCTCTCTCCTTGCATCCAACACCTTGCAGGAGACAATGGGTCAGCAGGCCAAGACCATGCGATCCCAGGTCAAGAAAACCACCATCAGAGACAAGCTGAAGCAGGCACAGAACTTCTTGCATTTCCACACCCATTCCCTAGCCCAATTGCAACACAACAGCCCTGCAGTGTTGCCAGTGGGCACGATTCTCTGGTCGTTGCTGCCCCCACCCTCCCATATCCTAGTCCAAGATCAAAGCAGCTAGATCGTTTCCCTGGTGGACCCCCCCACCTAAACGTCCTAAAATATCTGAAGAAGTGTGCGTGCACACGAAAGCTTGTACCAAGAACAAACTCAGTTGGTCTCTAAGGTGCTACTGGACAATTATATATATATATATTCCTAAAATATTATTATTTATTGAATTTTTATACTGCCCTATACCTGGAGGTCTCAGGGTGGTTCACAGAATGAAATATAAAACCACAAAATATATAATCAAAATAAAAACAACAACCCAGTACCCCGCCCCAAACCACATTTTAAAAGGGCGTAGGGACACAGAGCAATGCACTCTGCTTATTGAGTTACTCAGAGTGTAAAGGCAGAGGTGGTAGGTTCTTACAACCGGTCGTCCTAAAACTTCCAGTAGCATCCGAATTCCAAGTGATGTGGAGGATTCTAAAATTCACACACACACGTCAGTGGTCAAATTATGAAACCGTATTAAAAAATAAAAGGAGGAGGGAAAGCAACCAGAAGGTCAAACCAGGAATACAAAATAACAGAGCACTGTGACTCTTAAAATTGAAACTAATCCTACGCCTATTGCTGACACTAACAGCTGTTACCGCATTGTGGGAATGCATTTAGACCACCAGTTATTATCCTTCCTCGCTCATGCTTGTGAGATCATCGGAGTATTATCCTTTGCAGCCCTTAAACTTGGAAGCTGAGACAAGATATATTTTAGCTTCTACAAACAATAACACTAAAGGCAGACTGGATTTTTGCTGGTATTACCCATTTTTCTCCCCCTTATAAATAACAATAACACATACATTGTTTCGTAAAAAAAGTAAAGTAGTGTTTACTTACATAAGTGGGTATGAAGCAGCAATTGCAGTAGCAAAAAGAAGGCGGGTTTATTTCTACTATCTGAATTTCAAAAGTACAGAATCAAGGTTCAGACCATGTGTGGTCAGCTTTGGAGGCATGACGAATAAAGAGATGCTCAGGCAGGAAGGAAGGAAGGAAGGATGTAGTGTTACAACTTCCTGCCAAGGCAGACAAAGGAAGCGATCTCACAGAGTTCTCTCTAGCATTTGTAAAGGAAAGATCTGTGACCCTCGGTCCTTTCATGTGCCTATCAGCCAAAATATGATTGGTTGGTTTTTGACTGCAGTATGATCCACACAAGTAAGCATCTTCAACCCAAAATCAGGTTTGGATCCCGGATGGTGAGAGCGACAACAACTGCAAGGAGGCTCTTTTAAAGACTCTCTCCCTTGTCTTCAGAGGGAGAGACTTCCGAACCTTGCTGACCAATGGGGCCGTTACATTTCAGAGCCAAGGAAATACGGTGTGATTGTGGGGGAAAGGAATGCAATTGATTGTGGATCATTTGTGGGCTCAAAAACAGGAACAACAAGCACCATTGCATTTGCTGGCTTTAATTGATTTCTGGACATTGGAGGAGCCAGCAAACGTTGGAAATTCCCACTGCTTCCATTCTCATTCCAATTGGCGTTTTCCCAACATCCCTTCTCCAAGACCAGCAATAAACACCTGTGTTTATGAAAATCACATTTTCTAAAGTAAAGTAAGATAGCAACAGGCATCAGCAGAGCCTTCAGTGACCCCAGTTTAGTAGAACAAGGATGTTTATTATTATTATTATTATTATTATTATTATTATTATTATTATTTTAAAGATTTTTCTTGATTTACAAAAGTTTGCAATGTCTCTCGCATTTTTTCCTCCATGTAACATTTTTACAAATCAGTTTCATTTGTTGCGATATTAGGAAGAAATGGGGGAGAGAGGTGGAGGGGGGGGAGATGGGTGGGGGTGGGGTCGAGTGGCGATGTTTCTATTTTACTTACTATATGTAGGGTTTGGTGTCAGCGTTGCTTGTGCAGGTTCTTTGCTGTTCGCTTGTGTTCCTTTGGACAACAACCATGCCGAGAAATAAGTAAATAACCAAGCAAGTATTAGACATCCACCCCAGAACTGGCCCTAAACATCTTCCAAGACAATAATGCCCATTTACACCACAAAGAACTCATAACCCACCTGCTCTCAGCAGCCAGAAACACCATAACCAGACACTGGAGAGACCTGTCAGGAGTAAGCATGGACCAATGGTACCAAACAGTATGGGAAACAGCCCTACTAGAAAAATTAACCAATAAACTGAAACTGACATGGGGACAAATAGAAGAAGACGCCTTCACCCCGGTATGGCTCCCTTTATCACACACACAGCCCAACAAAATGACAAAAATCCACCAACAGCATACGAATCAATATGGCTAACCTGATCCAAAACACCCACCCACCCCACTCACACATGAAAACAAAGACCACCACAGCCAACCACAAATGGACAGCCACACCCCAGGCCAACCCCAACCTCTCTCACCACCCAAAGTAGACAGGGATGTTGAGTCCTCACCCCCTTCCATTTCCTAAATTCATGGCATTTTTGCAGTCCAATGCTTCCTCCTCTTTCATCCCCCTGACATCTCTCTCTCTCTCTCTCTCTTCTCTCTCTCTCTCTCTCTCTCTCTCTCCTTGCATCCAACACCTTGCAGGAGACAATGGGCCAGCAGGCCAAGACCATGAGATCCCAGGTCAAGAAAACCACCATCAGAGACAAGCTGAAGCAGGCACAGAACTTCTTGCAAAAGCTGCGGTTCCTGGCAGATGAGGTGAGGTGACCAGGTTCATCCATATGTAACCTGAGCCTTGCTTAAATATCTCAGTACTGGGCTTTGAGCAGCCAAACATGCAGGAACCGGGAAACACAAGGGGCTGGATTGAATGACCCTTTGATCTCCTTCCTAATCTGTGTACGTTTCCGAGCACAATTCAAAGTGTTGGTGCTGACCTTGAAAGCCCTAAATGTAAACGGCCTTGGTCCTGTAGACCTGAAGGAGCATCTCCACTCCCATTGTTCTGCCCGGATACTGAGGTCCAGCTCTGAGGGCCTTCTGGCCGTTCCCTCGCTGCGAGAAGCCAAGTTACAGGGAACCAGGCAGAGGGCCTTATCAGTGGTGGCGCCCCGCCCTGTGGAAAGCCCTCCCACCAGATGTCAAAGAGAAAAATAACTACCAGACTTTTAGAAGACATCTTAAGGCAGCCCTCTTTAGGGAAGCTTTTAATGTTTAACAGACCACTGTATTTTAATTCTTTGTTGGAAGCCGCCCAGAGTGGCAGCAAGAAGAATCAGGCAGAGCCAGAGACAAGGAAAACCAAGTTCGAGAGAGACTGGGAAAAACCCTTAGAACAGGAAGTGGGAGCTGGTGCTTGAAAATGGGGAGTGGCTTCCCCAGGTGTTATTTCCTGGGCTCCCTGGGTGAGGTCACTTGCTGCCCCTTGGGCAGCGCCTTGCAGAGCCAGGCAGAGGACCAGGCCAGGTAGATAATGTACCCCCCCCTTTTTTACCCTGGGTAAAATCAATTTTTAAGTAGACAAATTTGATTATTAATTATAATTAAATTATAATTAAAACTTCTCCGCCTTCTTATTCTACTCTTAAAAAAGATGCATGCAAGTGAGAAAGCCACTATTGCTCCTAAGCCACTATTTCTTTAAAAATCATGGTTCCCGCCCAATTTTATCCTCATTGAGCTATATGTACTCCTCGGGTGTAAGTAACATTCCTGGCCTACTCAACCAAATTTTAAACAAATGGTCACATCTTCGTCCATTTTTCATCCTTTTCAAAAAAAAATTAGCGATAAGAAAGCCAACACGCTTATCTTTAAGGTACGTGCGGTTTTAATTTTTGGCAAACAAGATTTCAAACAAAAACTCACCAACTTTTAACAGCATGAAAAACGTGGTCCGCCATCACGTTCGCGGCGCGCTGGCTGCTGGAGCCTTGGTCGCCTCCACCCACCCTGGCACCCATTCTGCGCTCCTCTGCGGAGCCGATCGTAGGTCCCACTCCGGACGCCGGGGAAGCTTTTCTCTCGCGCTGCCAGCCATGGCCCCAGGGAATCCGCCCATTCTTTGCGCCTCCGCGTTCGGCCCAGTGCATCCCCTGCGATTGGGAATATGCTGACTGAGCCCCCTTTGGAAGCGGGGGCTCGGGCCAAGTGGCCCATATGCCCCCCCCTCGGTCTGGGCCTGCCCCTGGGTGCAATTGGTTGCGATGGATGGAGAGGCTAGCTCCAGTGTTCCTGGGTGCCTCTCAGCTCTTGAGCCTTCTCTCTGCTCCCTCTCCTCCCTTCCCAGCCCCAGCACAGCATCCCGGACGTCTTCATCTGGATGATGAGCAACAACAAGCGCATCGCCTACGCCCGCATCCCCTCCAAGGACATCCTCTACTCCATCGTGGACGAGGAAACGGGGAAGGACTGCGCCAAAGTGAAGACCGTCTTCCTGAGGGTGACGTGGCGGCTGATTTTTAACCCCCTCCTTGGGTCGCAGTTGATGGGTGGACGGATGAGGGGAGGCTGGGAGGGGGGAGGGCATGAGAGGTGCAACTTAGAAAAGAGGTAGGTGGATAAGAAGCATCTCAGGTGCCAAAGCCGCCTTGTCTGCTCCGCCATCATTTCAGAGTGTCAGAGGCTGCCCGGCCTTCAGCAGTTGTAGAATTCAGAAAGCCTTTCAAAAAGTTAAAATGGCAATAGACTGGGAACCAATTAAAACTCATGCCAGCTTTCTAAACATATGGTACCCTGAGCAAGGACAAAATTGGTTCCCTTTCTGCCTCACCTTCCATTCTGCACATGCTCTCTCCCCCCCCCCCACTATACACACACACACACACACACACACACACACACACACACACACCGTATTTTCCGGCGTATAAGATGACCCTCCCAACTTTTCCAGTTAAAATATAGAGTTTGGGATACACTCGCCGTAAAAGACTACCCCTCTTCCAACGCACACCAAATAACAATTTAAAAAACCAGTCTCCAGTCCGGCTCGGAAATCCGCTCCACTTCCCAGTGGCCGGGGGCTTCTGGGGCCAATTTTCAAGCGTATTTCTGCTTCATCTAGAGAGCTTGGTGTCCTCTGATTTAATTTGCTGTCGTTTTATCCTTTGGTGGTGACTAGCTGCAGGAGCTGCTGCTGTAGCCGGCGCATAAGACGACCCCCGACTTTTGAGAAGATTTTCCTGGGTTAAAAAGTAGTCTTATATGCCAGAGGTGACTGCCTGGCATTAAGAGGCAGGGAGTTCCAAAGTGCAGGGGTTGCCACACTAAAACGGAGACTTCTGAAGGGAGACAAAAGACCAACTAAAATGGAGCAGCAGGCAAAATTATTTGATTATGTAGAATTGGCAAAGATGACAGGGAAAATTAGGAACCAGGCAAACCAAAAGTTTTAACAAAGAATGGGATATATACAGATTATATTTGAAAGAACATTGTTCACATATGAAATATTTGACATGCTTTGCAATGTTATATGCTACAGAGGTTATAGATAATTTATGGTAAGTTAAAGGCCATACAATATGCAGTCAACAAGGAAACAAAGGACCCATACTGAGGAAGATGGAAGTCTCAACATATGGAAGAACTTTATTTTATATGAAATTTCTTCTTTTTTGTATTTGATGTGATTTGTTTTTTCTTTGGTCCTTTTTGCGGGAAATGGATTCAAATTAAAAATCAATGAAGATTAAATTGCAAAATAACAAAAATAAAAAAGAAAGGGGACTTCTGGTGCTTAGAGAAAAGTGATGGGTGTGTAATGCGCTCTTTCTCTCTTTCTCTCTCTTCCTTGGCCTTTCTTCACTCAGTTACCGGGGAAAAAAGGTTTTGGGCCAGCCGGCTGGACGGTGCAAGCCAAGATGGAGATCTATTTGTGGCTGGGGCTGAACAAACAGCGCAAAGACTTCCTCAGCGGCCTGCCCTGCGGCTTTGAGGAGAAGAAACTTCCCAAGGGCCAGAACATCCCTTCCTTCCCACCCATCAGTCTCCTGTACAACAGTAAGAGAACCCCTTCCTTGCTTCTGGAGGGCTTGGGGACCCCATAGGCTCGCCTTTGTGCCCTACCTGTAATCCCAGGTGTGGCAGGTCAGGTCTTCTTTAATCACCCAGAGCACGCTCAGAGGCACTGTCTTCCTGACCGTGTTAGATTTTGCCCAGGCTCAGACTTTTGTACTGAAGGCGGGTCCTCAGGTGTTATGAAAGGATCACCTTAAAAGATGCCCAGTGGCTACACTCAGGCAAATGCCAAATGCATATCAGTCTTTAGGATGCATGAATCCAACAATTTCAGCTTCTCTGTGTTTCTCATTTTCCCAGTCTTCAGCATCCCATTTCTGCAAACGCCTGCGATATTTTTAAAAAAGGATATATATTTGTGCACATTTCTCTTAATGCACATTTTTGCACATGCTTTTGACTAATGTAAGCATTCCCCCCAAAAAAACAATGTCCTCCTAATACAATGCATTTCCCCCCCAGTGTGGGAGAGCCAGTGTGGTGTAGTGGTTAAGAGCAGTAGACTCGTAATCTGGTGAACCGGGTTCGCTTCCCCGCTCCTCCACAAGCAGCTGCTGGGTGACCTTGGGCCAGTCACACTTCTTTGAAGTCTCTCAGCCTCACTCACCTCACAGAGTGTTTGTTGTGGGGGAGGAAGGGAAAGGAGAATGTTGGCCGCTTTGAGACTTCTTTGGGTAGTGAGAAAGCGGGATATCAAATCCAAACTCTTCTTCTTCTGCAATGTCGCCCATTACAATGTATTCCATCCCCTCCAAACACACTTCCTCCTAATACAATGCATTTTTAATTCAGTATTGTCCCCAATATACACATCCTCCTGTGCAATCTCTGGCTGGGGAACTGCACCCCAAATTTCGCAGAACTGCAAATTTCGAAGAAGTGCTGCGGTTTGGTTCGTGCATTCGTTTGCAAAGTGTGAATTTTGTACGTTTCGTTTACGGTGTCAGCTAAACTTGTGGTCCTCTGTTGCTGCCCCAAATCCACACGGAGTCACTCCCTCTCTTTCCTTTCCTTTCCCCCGTGCAGTGAAGCAGGTCTTCCAGCTTCGTGTCCACATGTACCAAGCCAGGAGTCTGTTTGCTGCCGACAGCAGTGGCCTCTCTGATCCCTTTGCCCGGGTCTTCTTCATCACGCAGAGTCAGTGCACGGAGGTAAGAGGAGGAAATGTGTGATTCGGAGACGAGTGGTCCTTGTCTGAATTTCTTGCTTGTTAAAAGCGGAGGTGATGTTCCCTGCAGCCCAAATTGCTCGTGGCTCCTGTTGAGGGTGGCCAAACCTGCCACTACAGTTTCCTCTCAGTTCCACATTGTTATTATTCATTTCATAAAATTAATACCTTCCTTGATTGTAAAACAAAACAAACCTCAAACGGGTTTACAAAAAAAAAAAATCAAACAAGAAAATTATCAACAAGATAACAACAGTAATTTAATGACTTTCGAAAAGTTAAAAACAACAAAAGACCAAAAAATGGATTAAAACACCTGATTGGGCTTGTTTAAACTATAATGGCTTTAGCAGGCAACTGTCTGATATCAGGGAGTTCCAAAGTATAGTTCCAGTCTTCAGTTTTCTGCAATTCTGCATCTGCCTTTTTTTTAAAAAAAAAAGAAGAAGAAAAGTTCTCAAAATCTACCAGAATTTTATTGTGATTTTCTCCTAATGCACACATTTAGCAACTTTTGGCCTGCCAATTTTGCAAAAGGCCGTCCTGCATAAAAATGCATTTTTTTAAAAAAGTGTGCTTAAATGTCAAGTGGAGGTGGCTGCTTGCTTCATTTCCCCAGGGAAGGAATTTCGGAATTTAGGTGCCCCTGTAGAAAAGGCCCCGTCTTATAGCCACCAATGAAAGGAGACTAGAAAGACAAAGATAGTGGTTACCTCAAATGCAAAATTCCAGAAGGTTATAGCAGCAGTTCCTGCTGTAGGCAAAAGCTCTGCAGGATTTCGGAGGGAAACTGAAAGAAATAGGATATGGGGTTTGAAGGAGAGGTTCATGCACACCTTGAGTCCTTCCTCTTCTTCCTCCTCTTCTCAGGTCCTCCAGGAGACTCTTTGCCCCACGTGGGACCAGCTGCTGGTGTTTGACAACGTGGAGCTATATGGGGAAGTCCATGAGATGCGGGACGACCCTCCCATCATTGTCATCGAGATCTATGACCAGGACACCGTGGTAAGAGGGTGTGTGCTGGTCCTGTGGGTTAACCGAGAGGCGAGGTCCAAGTCCGGTCCGTGGTCAAAGGTGCAACGTGGAGGCAGGCCATAGTAGCTGAAGCTGGGTGCAGGGCAGGGAGCTGGGTGAGGTCAGGAACAGGCTTGCAAGCAGGGAGCCAGGATGGGTCAGCAGCTCAGGCAGGAAAGCAGGACAGGGTTCAGGCAGGAACTAGCAACCAACCATGTTGCTCCCACAACTTGGGAATGGGGCTGGCTGGCTTTTATCTGCCCCAAGGCATAGGGCAGCCCCGGTCCTCTGGTGACTCGCCTCTCCTGGCCTGGAGGAAAGCACTCCTCCTGCGGGAACTTAGTTCCCTCCGCCTCTCTGCCCTGAGCCTCTGTAGCTCAGGAGAGGCTGGAGGGTTACCGGACCCAGAGGCAACCTCAGCTTCCTCTGACGGGGCTGAGAGTGGAGCACCTGCAGGCAATGGGTCCTCCATCACCTCAGGATCCAGAGCAGACTCAGCTGATGCCTGCACCTGAGGACCCAGCACTGGTGAGGACCCTTCAGGCTCAAGCCCCAGCCCCGGCCCAGTTGGTTCTGGAGGTGGGGACTCCTGTGCAGGCTGGGATCCCTCAGGTTCAGCATCCCAGTTCGAATCCCAGGCCATCACAGAGGGGCCAGGAAGGGAAGTGGGGGGAATCATAGCACAGTGGGGAAGCAGACTTCTTTGCCTGCATTGTGTCAGGCAGAAGAGGAACCAACCCAGGTTGCCAGGAATGAATAAGACAAGGAAAAGTCCTTACCACCTGCTTGCTTATTCAATATTTACAGAGAGAGGCTTGGAAATGCAGCCTCTTCGAAGAATGGTGTTGTCCCGAGTAAATCTCCATCCCCCTTCTCTCCTACTTCCTCATTTGCCAACAGCACTACTCCCTTGACGATTATCTGTTTTCAGGCTCTTTGCTCTCCTACTTTCAAGGCTCGCCGGGTTCTGGGAGATGGTGGGTCTGGAATGCTTTCTAGTGATAACGTGTCAGCCAGCTGTTTCTCCTCCTCTCCCATTATTTCCCAACTTCTCCCCTCATCTTCCTCTGAGCTGTGACCTCCCACAGACCCCCACTAGTAATTTTGAACTGTCTTCTTCTCTGGAAGGGTCAGGTCTCCACCATTCCTCCTCTACCCAGTCCCTGGTGGGAGAGGGCTCGCATCCAGCACTGCTCACGTCTTTTGACTCTGGACCTCTGGAGATCCCCATAGCGACATCTCCTGGCACACCCTCTCTGCCCCACCATTTCTGGTCTGTGCTCCACCATGCTGCTTTGAGGACCAAGGATCAAGCTAGATATTCAGAGCAGACTAGCTAAGATCTTGTTTGGAATGGATGGAAGCCACAACCCTGAGGTTCTCATGCTCGACCAACAGAGCTCTCCACCTTCTCCATCTCCTTCCAGGGAAAGGCTGACTTTATGGGCAGAACGTTTGCCAAGCCCGTGGTGAAGATGTCGGATGAGGAGTACTGTCCGCCCCGCTTCCCACCCCAGCTAGAGTACTATCAGATCTACCGGGGCAACTCCACTGCCGGGGACCTGCTGGCTGCCTTCGAACTGCTCCAGGTAATGGCATCCTCAGGACGCATGCATGGGGTGGGGGGGCAAGTGGGTCAAACCTAGCTGAGCCTGAGGTCCCTGAATGAGACTAAGAGGGGTAGCTGATGCCTCAGAATAGAACCAGGTTTTGAGATGGCCTTCAGGGCTTGGAGGACTGGGCCGAATGAATTTTGGCAAATGTGAGGTTCTACACTTAGACAGGATAATAATAATAATAATAATAATAATAATAATAATAATAATAATACCTTTCTTGTCAATGTACAACCTGTGTACAATGAAATTAAACGAGCCTCCCTCCCTGCCCAAACACTCAATCTCATTGCACTCTGTGTGCTTATCGAACAACACACCACCTCGCAAGTCAGTTGCGCTATGTTATTTTCCATTCAGCAGCCTAACAGCCCACAGATAGAAGCTATTTTTTAACCTGTTGGTACGGCTGATTATACTTCTATATCTCCTGCCCAAGGGTAGAAGATTAAAGAGGTGATGGCCGAGGTGTGAGTCATCCCTGAGAATTCTTCTCACTCTCCTAAGGCAACGATCCCTTGCGATGTCATCTAGCAGACTCAAGGGACAGCCCATGATATCACCACCCTCTATAGAGACTTTCTGTCTGTGGCTGTCAAGCCAGCATATCCACACTGTGATGCAATATGAAAGGACACTTTCTATTGAGGACCTGTAGAAGGAGTTCATCAATTGTTGTTTAACATTATTCTTTCGCAAGACCCTGACGAAATGGAGTCTCTGTTGGGCCTTTCTGACCACCTGAGTTATCTTGATTTTCCAAGTAAGGTCCTCATTAAGGTAAACTCCCAGGAATTTAAAGGAGGAGACTCTCTCCACACAGCCCCCCCCAGATATACAACGGGGCAGGTTCCCCTCTCTTCCTCTGGAAGTCCAACACCATCTCCTTTGTCTTACTAATATTTAGGTGCAAGTTATTCTCTAAGCACCATGTAGATACTTTTTGAACCTCCCCCTGTACGCTGAACCATCTCCGCCTGCAATTAGGCCCGTTATGGTAGTATCATCTGAAAACTTAATAATTACTGTGGATGGATCAGGTGATATGCAGTCATATGTGTACAATGAGTACAGGTAGGGAAGAACCAGATGCACAAATATAGGAATGGGGGGTGGAGCCACCTGGCTTGCCAGCAGGACATGTGGAAAGGGTTTAGGAGTCTTAGTGGACCACAAGCTTAACATGAATCCACAGCGTGATGCAGCAGCAAAAAAAGGCGAATTCTGCATCAACAGAAGATAGAATCAGGTTCTGGGATGACTTTCACGGGTTGGAGAACTGGGCCAAATCCTAACGAACTAGTCTTTTCTGTTATGGTTCCCAGGCAGCTAGTACAGTAGGCCTGAAACTTACATTGGGGTTATGTTTTGGGGGTCTGTGCACAAAGGCAAAGCCAGGAAGATCCCCGGAATTGTGCCCCTGCAACCATTCTCACCTGCTCAAAGCCATTCCTGTGACGTTAACATAGGGGGGTGGAGTCAAAAGGGACTATAAAACCAGCTCTGGGAGGAGTTTGTTGGGAGTTGGGTGGTTGGTTGGAGTGGGAGTGAACTGGGATGGAGTCTGTGGGTAGGTTGAGTTAGTGTAGAGAAATAAGCTGAGCCAGGAACAATTAGGAGCTAGGAAGACAAGTAAACATCTGAGAGGTGGTTTAGTGAGTGAGAGCAGGTAGCGGAAGTTATAGGTCTGGATAGGCACCCTATGATTGTAACTGACCAATACCGTTTATGAAACCACACGCTTGTTAAACTGCAATAAATAAACAGAAGTTTATGTTCCAGTTTAACCCTGACTGGACTCAGTATAGGTAGGGCCTGGGTGGTGGCAGCGAGAAATCAAGCGGTGGCACAGGGATCAATCGACGGTGAAACGTCCGGGGACCCTGTGTGATCGCCACAATTCCCACCTGCCCAAATTGGGACACAGGCTCACATTTCCTTCCCAAAGCCTGGTATGCCTTTGCCCGGCTTTGGGAAGCAGGAGGGAGGGCTCCAACTCTCATGCCTGTTTCTCAATGCTGCTGCCACTGCGGGAGCTGCTTCCGGGGGCCCCATCCTCAAGCCCCATGAAATCGGGGCACCCCAGGATGGAGGCAGAGCCCAGAGCCTTCAAATAAAGCAGGGTAGTCGTGCTTAAAATGGGGCAATTGGAAGGTATGTTACTGGCCTCTGGGACGCTCATGCTAAGGCCCTGAGATGCTTCTGCAAGATCTTGCAGGGCTGTCCGAGATCTCTCAAGATCTCATGATGGCTTTGCAAGTTCTTGCAGGAGCATCCCAGGATCCTGAAATGATCCCAGAGATTAGTAAGTAAAGAGCTCTTTAAAAGCTCTTTCAACCACAGGAAAACCCTGTGCAGAAAAAGCTTCTTAAGCCCTCCTTCTTGCTTTCTGAGTTCTGGAAGCTCTTATAAGATATGGTTCAGCCCCTTTTGATGAGTTTCCCTGTTCTCTGGCCCTCTTTCTATCTATTGATTGATTGATGAAGCACGCAAGGCTGTGATCACATAAATAAATGGCGCACAGGTTTCGGGTCTCCTGTAAGTTGTGTGGATGGAGGAATCTCCAAGGATCCCACCTTGCCAAAGACACAACTCCTTCTTCCATCTCACTCTTTGAAAGCGGACTATGTCTTCTCCATCTGTTTGCCCGTTTAAGAGTGGACTTTCTTTTCTTTTCTTTACATCTGTGGATTCGTCCTGTCCTGTCCGTCCTTCTGTCTGTCTGTCTGTCTGTCTGTCTGTCTGTCTGTCTCTCTTTCCGCCCTGCCTCCACCTTCTCAGCTTCCTTACGACGACGAAGAGATCAGGCGGGCCTTGCTGGCGGTCCATGATCCATGCATTCCGCAGATCAAGGTGCTTCCAGATTGCTGCAGCCGAAAGAAAATCCCTTTGTGATGCTCTCATTCCTCTTAGCCTTGCCTTATATTACAGGATACCCTGATTTGATTTTTGTTATTCTTATTTTGCCCGTTGCACTATCTTGCTCTCTTCCTCTTATCTGCATGAACCAAACTAGGTCAAGTTCTGCTTGTCTCACAACCCACCTGTCCCGCTCTCCCTCCCTCGACTTTTTCCATCCGTAACTCGCTCACAAATCGCGGAGCGGGGCCTTGGGCATGCGGGTAACCTCCAAAGAGGCTGTTCTGCACATCCTCTGGAAGAAAATGTCAGCTCAGCCCACCAATCACCCTTTCTTCCCCAAAATGTTGGCACCTCTCAGAAATCACCAGCATGCTCAAAGTCTCTTTGCCTGCGCCTTGGAGCTATTAGAAACCTGCATGGTTGTAACAGTGATTTAGAGACGTACAGTTCCCAACGCGAAATTTCCACCCAGATCACAGAATTAATGTTGATGATACTTTTGGGCACTTCACAAAGCACCATGTTGGTAGTTTCTGCTCAAATATCAGAAAGAAACAGCATTGGGGAAAGTGGCTTCCATTTCAGCTCAGAGTCCTTCTCCCTGAATCAGGGCTCACCTGAATGGTACCTGTTGCTGCTGCCAGTGCATCTATTGGCACCTGTGAAATGACTCAGGAAATATCCCTGGGGAAAATCGAGAAAGCACTAGATCAGGGTTTCCCAAACTTGGGTCTCCAGCTATTTTTGGACTACAACTCCCATTGTCCCTAGCTAACAGGACCAGTGGTCAGGGATGATGGGAATTGTAGTCTCAGCCGTCCCAACATGGAATCCATCATTCCGCGTCCGCACAGCAGCCATGTTGTGCAATGCCCAGCACTTTTTTTCTGGGGGGATACAGGGGTACACATACCCCTAATTGGTTTTTTTAAAAAAATCTTTGCACTTTTGTCCATTTACTGTATTTCTTTCCCCCGATTTGAACTATCAAATGGTGATTTTTCTTGAGTCAAAATGAGAGTACCCCTAAACAATTTTTTAAAAACCAAAAAGCACTGGCAATGCCACACACCCCATGGCAGCCATGTTGTAACTGACACCCATGGCACATTCTCAACATTCATTCCAAATAGCCCTCTGCACCCCCCCAAAAAAAGTTGGCAACCCCCTACCCTACATATTCCTTGAGTACCAGTCTTCGTTTCAAAGACTCGGGCAAAACACTGGACCCAAATTTTCCGAGTCACGCAGTAAAGGATGAAGAGTTGACGTACTCTATCCAAAAACGTGACTTTGGGCTTACCTTATTCAAAGCAGGGATTCTAGACTCCCCCACTTACCAGTGCATGGATGGGATGGGTTAACTTTCCAAGGGTGAACGAAAGCATCATGGCGGTTGGCAGATGTGTGTTTGTGTGTGTGAGAGAGAGATTTCTAAAGGAACAGATTCGACCTGCCGCCCTTCTCTCTTGCAGATTGGCCCAGCCGGGAAGTCAGAGCTGCCTCCCATTGACGGCCCGACAGACATGGATCGGGGCCCCATCCTGCCTGTGCCTTTGGGAATCCGCCCTGTGTTGAGCAAATACAGAGTGGAGGTAAGCTTAAAACTTCGGTGCTGCACTTCCTGCATGGCGGGTGGGTGGACTTGTGCTTTCAAGTAATAATAATAATAATAATGATGATGATGATGATGATGATGATGATGATTTATTTGTACCCCTCCCATCTGGCTGGGTCTCCCCAGCCACTCTGGGCGGCTTCCAGCAAAGATTAAAAATACATTAAAATGTCACACATTAAAAACTTCCCTAAACAAGGCTGCCTTCAGATGTCTTCTAAACGCCAGGTAGTTGTTTATCTCTTTGACATCTGATTGGGAGGGAGTTCCATGGGGCGGGTGCCACCACCGAGAAGGCCCTCTGCTTGGTTCCCTGTAGCTTTGCTTCTTGCAATGAGGGAACCACCAGAAGGCCCTCAGTGCTGGACCTCAGCGTCCAGGCAGAACGATGGGGGTGGAGAACTCAGTTGGTTAGAGCGTGGTGCTGATAACGCCAAGGTTGCAGTTTCGATCCGCGTACGGGACAGCTGCATATTCCAACTAGATCAGGCATGGCCAAACTTGGCCCTCCAGATGTTCTGGGACTACAACTCCCATCATTCGTAGCAAACAGGACCAGTAGTCCGGGGTGATGGGAATTTTAGTCCCAAAACTTCTGGAGGGCTGAGTTTGGCCATGCCTGGACTAGATGGTCCACAGGGTCCAGTCAGGCATCAAGGATCAAGGAAGAAACAAGAAAGTTCATATTTATGGTTTTATTCAGTCATCGTGGTGCAAGACAAGGATTACAGTCCTTAATCCCATTGACGTTGCTCACTCTGAGCTCCTCCTCTTCTTTCCCCAGCAACAGCCCTTGGCTCTACGGGGGCCCCAGTAGTCAAATGCAATTGAGCCCATTGCTCTTGAACTCTAATTGAGCGACGAGTTCTTGGGGATGGTGGCTCTTCTACGCTTTCCAAGGAAGTCTCTGCTATAAGCTCTCCCCTTCCTTCTCTTCCAGCTCTGAGTTCTGCTGCAATTCAAACCTGTCTCCCTCTTCTCTTGAAACTGATGGAGAAGGGGGGGGGCGATCCCCAACACTCCCTCTCCTCCTCCTCTGAGGGAAGCTGAGGAGAAGGAGGGGGCGATTCCCACCCCTCCTCTTCAGTCCAGTCCCTGACCGGTCCCTTTGTCCAACTCCACAATTCTTTGTTGTTGTTTAGTCGTTTAGTCGTGTCCGCCTCTTCGTGACCCCCTGGACCAGAGCATGCCAGGCACTCCTGTCTTCCACTGTCTCCCGCAGTTTGGTCAAACTCATGCTGGTAGCTTCGAGAACACTGTCCCACCATCTCGTCCTCTGTCGTCCCCTTCTCCTTGTGCCCTCCATCTTTCCCAACATCAGGGTCTTTTCCAGGGAGTCTTCTCTTCTCATGAGGTGGCTAAAGTCTTGGAGCCTCAGCTTCAGGATCTGTCCTTCCAGTGAGCACTCAGGGCTGATTTCCTTCAGAATGGAGAGGTTTGATCTTCTTGCAGTCCATGGGACTCTCAAGAGTCTCCTCCAGCACCAGAATTCAAAAGCATCAATTCTTCAGCGATCTATGATTCTGTAATCCTGGACGTGGGTGGTGCTGTGGTCTAAACCACTGAGCCTCTTAGGCTTGCTGATCAGAAGGTCGCGGTTTGAATCCCCGCAATGGGCTGAGCTCCCGTTGCTCGGTCCCTAGTCCTGCCAACCTAGTAGTTTGAAAGCACACCCAAAAGGGCAAGTAGATAAATAGGTACCACTCCAGTGGGAAGGTAAACAACGTTTCTGTGCACTGCTCTGGTTTTGGTGTTGTGTTGTGCCACATCAGTCCTGCTGGCCACATGACCTGGAAAAACTATCTGCGGACGAACACTGGCTCCCTCGGCCTGCAAAGCGAGATGAGCGCCCCAACCACAGAGTCTTCTGCGACTGGACTTAACTGTCAGGGGTCCTTTACCTTTATCTTTTTATAATTCTAGATCTTGTTCTGGGGACTGAGAGACCTGAAGCGTGTGAACTTGGCTCAGGTGGATCGGCCTCGAGTGGACATCGAATGTGCCGGGAGGGGAGTCCAGTCATCCCTCATCCAGAATTACAAGAAAAACCCCAATTTCAGCACCTTGGTCAAATGGTTTGAAGTGGTGAGTATCTTCCCCCAGCAGAGATGGGTGCATAAGGACATGAGAAGTGGTTGCTGGATCAGGCCAAAGGCCCCTCTAGCCCAGCATTCTGTTCTCACAGTGGCCAACCACAGGCATGTGGGAAACGTACGGACAGTGCTGGGATCCTCTGCTCCTGTCTGCAGCCGCGAACGGAGGATCCTCTACATGCGGCTGTAGCGGTGACAGAGGGATCCCACTGCTGTCTGTACAGCGCTCGAGTGGCCCCGGCGGCAAACCGCTATGTACAGCGCATATGTGGCGTTGTTTCGTACAGTGCATGCATGCAACTGTCGGGATCTCCGCTCAGCCAAGCTGATAAAGCTCATCTTCCTCCGGAATTGCCCCCAACGATAATTAACGACCTGAGCCTTTGATTAGGCCTCAGGCACATTCCCATCCAGCAGAGAATCAAAGCACCACATGGAAGCGATGAGATTTATGGCTACATGGCTATAGAGTGTTATTTCTCGCTACGCAGAAATACACCCTCTCTCTGTGAAAGCAGAGAGCAACTGAAAAACAAAGGAACAAAGGAAGAGGAAACCACTAACATCACATCCGTCTCCCGTGAGACTTCCAACAGTATGGAATGTGGGGAATGTAAACAGAGTCTTGTGACTCCAAAGTACTGCACAGTGGCAACACACAGAAACTAACAGTGACGCCGCACATGCGCTGTAAATAGCAGTTTGCCGCCAGTGCCGGGATCCTCTGCTCACATCTGCAGCCGCGAACGGAGGATCCTCTACATGCGGCTGTAGCAATGACAGAGGGATCCCACTGCTGTCCGTACGGCGCTTGAGCAGCCCTGGTGGCAAACCACTGTGTGCAGCGCATGTGCGGCATCGCTAAGTACAGTGCATGCATGTGATGCCACACATGCGCTGTAGATAGCGGTTTGCCGCCGGTGCCGGGTTCCTTTGCTTGCAGCTGCAGCTGCAAACAGAGGATACTGCACATGCAGCTGTGGTGGCATGATGGCTGCTCATGCTGCGGGGGCAGCGGGAGCCCCCATGGGGTGCCTTCTTGTCACCCCCCCAGACATGGCACCTGGGGTGCACTGCCTCCCATTACAACGCCACTGCTCACAAGGAGAACATGGAGGCAATAGCCCTTTCTCACACTTGCTCTCCTGCAATTGGTTTTGTTAGGCAACAGGAAAGCAACCTAATAATAATAATAATAAATTTTATTTATATCCCGCCCTCCTCAGCCGAAGCCGGGCTCAGGGCGGCTAACAACAGTCAAATAGTCAAACAGTCAAATTCTAAAAACATTCTAAAAACATTTCATTATAAAAATTAATTAAAATCAAATTGTTGGCAACCGATTAGGCAAAATTCTGTGCAGGTTGCCAGAGGAGGGAGTCAGGCTGCGCCCTGACCAAAGGCCTGGTGGAACAACTCTGTCTTGCAGGCCCTGCGGAAAGATGTCAGGTCCCGCAGGGCCCTAGTCTCTTGTGACAGAGCATTCCACCAGATGATCAAGGGTCTGGAAACCAAGTCTTATGAATGTTATGAAGACAAAAACTGCTCCCTTTCCCTTATGGGGTATTCCAGAGCCCATATAGAGTCCTTAAGTGGGTTCCCTATCAGTAGGAGAAAATAATAGAGGCCAACCAGAGAATATTGAGAAGCAAAGCAGCTAGTAAGCCTGATCTTCATTAAACTGTTGCAACAGGGTCCCTACTCACCACACGCAGGAGGAAGGGGGAACCCTGAACAGTGTTGCGCAAGCCCTTATGTAGACTTTTATGTAAACTGCCCACCATGTAGCCCTAGATCACCCCCCAAAACATCATACATACATCACAGGAGGAGGCGGTCTACAGCAGAAATCCTGCCTGCCAGGATACCTGATAGTGGTCACTGATTGCATTACCTGGGCAGCCTGGCCATTCTTTGGTGATGGTTAATACTTTAGTTCCAGAGTCCAGGTCACAGGCTCACCCTATTCATACACAAATATGCCCTTAAGACAGGATTTGCAAGCAAAAGGACAATGGCAAGCCTTTCCCCATTTGCCTCCCTTCCTGCAGAGGAATATTTGAGGTCACTGGGAGAGTTGAAATGGCTCCAGGACTGACACGTGGTTTATATAATGTATGTGTTTGCCTTGTGCATTTATGAACGCTTAATTTATATTTGAGACCTTAGAGTTCTTATGACATGAGGAACGGTTGAAGGAGTTGGGGAAGTTTAGCCAGGAAAAGAGGAGACTGCTTTGGAGGCTGTTATGCAGAGGTTACGTTGGGGATGCGGGTGGCGCTGTGGATTAAAAGCCTCAGCACCTAGGACTTGCCGATCGAAAGGTCGGCGGTTCGAATCCCCGCGGCGGGGTGCGCTCCCGTTGCTCGGTCCCAGCGCCTGCCAACCTAGCAGTTCGAAAGCACCTCGGGTGCAAGTAGATAAATAGGGACCGCTTACCAGCGGGAAGGTAAACGGCGTTCCGTATGCTGCGCTGGCTCGCCAGATGCAGCTTCTCATACTGGCCACGTGACCCGGAAGTGTCTCCGGACAGTGCTGGCCCCCGGCCTCTTAAGTGAGATGGGCGCACAACCCTAGAGTCTGGCAAGACTGGCCCGAACGGGCAGGGGTACCTTTACCTTTATTTTATGCAGAGGTTGGATGGACACCTGCCAGGGATTTTT